ACAAAGGCCAAAAAAAAACCTGACTCAGCTTTCATGAAAAGCACATTTTTGTAGACAGTAACCCAGCGGACACTCAGCGTGTGACCACATTGCTACAGTCACTCTCCATGAGGTTTAAAAATGATGAAATTCCTAAAAAAAAAAATCAGACAAAGAAAGTATTTTAAATCATATTGAGGACTTTATTGGTGTGTAAGAAGTCGACTACAGTCAAAATCTCAAAAACCTCTGAAATACAAATGAATAATGGAAACATTTTGTACATTTACAGTTTTTTAGGTTGTTGTCCTCAACATAATACAATCTGACTGCAGTGCATCATTCTAACCCTCTAACCAACCCCAGGCTGCACCGGGCCATTCAAACTCCAGAAATAAAATTATTTAAAAACAGAAACAGAACATAATAATGATGATGTAGAATCATTCCATCTTCTCTTCATTTGGTTGCTCCAGGTCATGGGAGTAGCTGCATTTCTCTCCATGTGTACATGTTCCCTGTAAAAAAAACACAAACACACGATGATGACATAAATACCAACAGACAGACAGGCTGCTGAACTCTGATGTTACACTACAATGTCTAAAAACAGCCAAAGGAACATTTTGGCTGCAGCTGGCGAAAGCGTTCTCTGGCCAGAAACCAGTAGTGAGTGGAAACCTGCCAAAGCAGCTGATGGAAGAGACTGATTCACCGGCATGTGTCTGATGTTTCATTTCCCACCCAGGACATGAAGAATTTACAAGTGTAATCAGTATTTAGGTAATCGTCTGCCTTTAATTCTCTGAGCCGGGTGTGTGCCAAGAATATCAGAAACAGCCTGATGTGCTGAAACGATGCTCACCTCCAGAAATTTTAATCAGCTGTATAAAACTGCTGGAACAGACGGCGGGTTTCTACGGTTACTGTGATGCTCTCTCAACATGTCAAGAGAATTTAAAATGCTACACATGCAGCAAATTAGATCTTTTTCAAGTAACACCAGCGTGTTGTCATAATCCCTGTGCTATGGAAAATGAATGAGTGAATTTAAAACGAGTAAATATGTGGCTGAACATAACTAAGAACGACAAATGCAGATGTAAGTTTAACTTGTAGCACTGTTTTGGTCTCCACCACCTTATTAACAAAATGCTCTAATATGTTCACCAGCTAGTCGTTAATTCTGCCTTTAGTTTGATGCTGGGTAGGTAGAATATAGTGGGTTTTTATTATTATTATTATTATTGTTAAGGATGCACGATACATCGGCAACCACATCGGTATCGGCCGATATTCGTGTTTTTTCAGATATATCAGTATCGGTCCAGTTTAGCTGATGTGAAAAATGGATGATTGTCTAACATCAGCGCCTTCGTCTCTACATTTAATATTGCTGCTATTTCACAGATGTTTTTACCTAAATGGTCCTGGACTTGAACTTGAACATGTATTTTTATTTTGCTCTTGTTTTACATTGAACTTATTATTTATTAGGCTTTTTAAAAACCGGGACCTGAGTACAAACATGTAAATGTGAGCTGGCATGACAATGAAGTTCCTTGAATCCTTAAAACATGTTTTACTTTTGTTACGCAATAAAAACGACAATGTGATCTAATTTGGTATGGGCTTCTTTTGAATAGTTTTTACATTCTCACAGTGCTTACTTATACTAATTTTTCAGTGTGAACAAAAATTGAATATCGACATCGGTAATATCGGTTATCACCGATATCAGAAATCTTAGTATCGGATATCGGTATCGGCCAGAAATTTTAATATCGTGCATCACTAATTGTTCTTGCTTTTTGTCTGAAATCAGCTGTTCTCTGCTCAAGGTCTAAAAACTAAGACTTAACCAAGAACCATTTGGAATCTTCTGCGTTAATCGATAAATTTGTCTACAAATAAAGTCCGATTTTCATGTTTTTATGATCTGATGAGTAAGTAACCTAAATAAAATGCTTTGTCTTTAAAACTTTGGATTTGTGTGGGGTATGGGAGGTCACTCTCGGTCTGTTCATAGGTGCAGCGAGGTAAACAGTTTCAAAGGGAGGGACTCGCATGCATGGGAAGCTAGACCGGCTGCCAAAGCATAGAACAAGGAAGCTTGGACTCCAACAACACAGAGGGAGTGTGACTTCATTCTCTGCTAAGGACGCCGTTACATCTTTACTTGGTAGATAGTAAAGATATTCGATGTCTCATATATTGCACCTTTAAGTTACAACTCTTAAGCAGCATCAGACCCTAACATCTCGACAGCATCAAGGCGGAAATGAATGTCCAAATTTATCAAGGTTATCTCACAGGAGGTAAGGGGAGGTAATCCAGCAGGACAACGACCCTAAACATCACAGTAAATCTGCTACAGTGGCTTCAAGATAAGAACATGAGCCGTTTGGATCAATACAGATGCTGCAGAATGACCTCAAGAGAGAAATCCTGATAATATGGCTGAGCTGAGGTCCGGAATTCCTCCCTAATGCTGTGCAGGTCTGAACCACAGCTACGGGAAATGTTTACGGTTTTGGCTGCCAAAGGAGCTTCAAGCAGTTATCAATTCCAGGGATTCATTTAGTTTTTCCATGTGTTTGTGTGAAAACTATTTGCTCCAACAACAGCATTTCCAGATTTCGCCCTTAACGACATGAAAACAGCTACATCTCTTTTTCTTCACCCCCTTTGTGGCAAACCACAAAAAAAAAAGGATCAGAGCCAACATCTGGTGAAGAGTGAGACAGCCCAGCTAACCAGATCATCATTTCCTCTGATGCCATCTCAAAAGCCACATAAATACAAGTCAATGACAGCTGTGCTGAAAGATTAGCCAGATTGGGACTCAAAATGCATGATCACGGAAAAAGTTGCAGATGCAGCGAGCTGTCTTCTTTGTTCCCACATAGTCAGGTACAGGGCTGACAGGTCAGTCTGTCTGTTTAACCTCCTTCTGCTCACCTCTACGGTGTGATTATGCAGGAAAATTCACAATGTAGTTGTTCTCATTTACATATTTTTTCTGTTTACTCTGTTGGACAACTGAACATGTGGGAAACAGTGACTCATTTACAGCCCATAAACCCGACAGACAGCCACACTAACTATAACTAACAATGTTATTTCATAATCATGATGATGACAAAATAAATTTACACTACTTGACTTTTAACTAGTAGATTTTTTTTTTCAAAATACAAAGTGTAATTTTGCAAGCAGCTAAGCTATATATGAAAAATACTGGTTATTGTAATTTAATTTAATTTCATATGATTTAATCTAACATGATAATAATACAACTTTATGTGGACATACTCTTGGTGACTATTTGTGTCATTTAGGGCTTTTTTTTTTGTTTGTTTTTTTTGTTTTGGCCTTTTTGCCTTTATTTGATCGTGCAGTAGAGAGAGACGGGAAAGTGGGGGAGAAGAATGGGGGAAGGACCTGCAGAAAAGGGCCATGAGCAGGATTCAAACTCATGACTTCTGCGTCGGGGAACTATAGCCCGTGTACATGGGACGCCAGCTCAACCAGGTGAGCTATAGTGGTGCCCCATTTTGGGCTTTTTAAAGAAACCTATTCTAACTAGCAAAAGTAAGGTGGCCATGTGACCTTCTGACTGACGAAGCAGCCACCATGGATCGAGGCACAGCAATGAGCATCCATTGCACTGTGCACATTTAAAGAGCTGTGACCTTGGCTTGGGGTGTTTTAATCTTTTACACTTCCACAATGTGTTTTCAGTTCATGAAAGTTAACTGGAACATCCTGAAAATGTCCTGCTCACCATTCACTTGTACACTGTTCAATTTTTTTGCACTAAGTACAATTTGTCTTGAGCTTTTTTTTCTCGCCCAAATTAGCATCCCAAGTATCACACTCAACCACAGACTTTATGTGACAAATCTTTCAAGATGTCACCCTTGGGTTTCCTGAATCCAACTGCACCCATCTTTCATATCCTCTATGGTGAACCTCCTCTCGTTGCTACAACTCGAACCCTTTTGTTTTTTTTTTTTTACAAAGTTTCAACATTGATACAGAAAAGAAATGCTGAGTCATCCTACAACCTACTCACGAGCATGACTCTCAACAATGTACCAGGTAAGCAGATGTTATTTTCCCCCGAGGACGGCGGTGAGAACTTCTGCATAATTCATAAGTCATTAATGAACTTGTGTCATTAGGGTCTGTGTGAACATGTCTTTAGGCAGGAGGGCAGTTTTATCTCCCAACACAAAAGTAATCATTTCAGGTATGAAGCCACGGGCAAATTATTCATGTGCTTTCCACGGCTGTTCGAGGAAGAGAAAGGAGTCAGGTGGGTGTTTTCTAGGAAACAAAAAACTGCTTTTGGAAGAAAAGAAAATAAAACAGAGAAAACAACCAGATTGTTGGGTGTTTTTTTTTTTTAAAACAAGAAAACAATCTTTTCTAGAGAGGCCCATTAATGAACAGAGTCCCACCTACAGAAACACATCACCGGCTCCATCATAGTAATTAGCGGTTTGCTTTAATGTACTGTTCCCACTTCTAAGCAGACATATTGCCTTTAAAAGATGTTTCAAGGTTTTTGCACTTGACTGTAAAACTAATGCAGCTGGTTTTGTGATCTGTGTGAATGTGCAGAAACTTGATTTTTTTCCTAACAAAATATATTGTTGCATGTCGTCTTCCTGCTTTGTGTATGATCAGTCTGACCTGTCTGAACCTCTTGCAGGGAAAGCTCTTGAGCTGAGACGAGTCTGTGATCTGGTTCTTCCTCTTGTTCTGACACTTCTTCCTCTTGTCTTGCAGGTCAGTTAAGATGCCACCACTGGAGGAGAGGACACAAATTTATCAGTCGACAGAGGATTAGGAAACATAAAGTTGGTAGAGAAAATTGAAGAGAGACTATGGCCACGTTTACATTTTCAAAAATAACATTGTTCACACCAGATCGTTTTCAAAAAAATCTTCGTCTACACCAACCCGCATAAACACGTCGCTAAGAGCTGCCATGCCAAACCTATAGGGGGCAGTGTAACGAGAAGCATAAAGCCATGCTAGCCAATCAGAAGCTTGGAAAAAACACAACAACGAAAACTTCCTGTTACTTCAACGATAATGGCGCGAGGGTCGTTTGTTTGGACCGACAGAGAAGTGGAGCTACTCCTACATGTGGTGTTAGAGTATAAAACAAGTAAAATTGTTGAAAGTATTGACTGCTCTGGGAAACATGTCAGTCTAAGTATATGGACTTAGCCGAACTGTAAACATGGCCGCACACGTATGACGCTTTAGTCGAATACTGTGACGTCATACTCCGTCTCCTCCCGTCTACATGCAAACATAAAGATGGCGTTTTTCCAAATCTCCACATTGGCCAGAGTTTTCAGATGTGATTGTGTAATGTCGCTTCGTTTACGTGTAAACCAAACGCATTGAAATATCACTGCTTTTGCTAAACGGGGCCTAAGACAAGAGATTAAGAGAAACGAAGACGACAGAGGTACAAAATGTGCAAGGAGCAAAGCATGCAATAGAAGAAGGACAGAATGAATCTGAATGCACAGCTTTGAGCTCCGAAACGACAATTATGAGCAGTCTGATGTAAAGATCCCCAAAAGAATCTTTAAATTACTAAATATCTTTAAATTCTTCCCCCAAAAAATCAACATTGATGTAATAACAGTATCTGAAAATGCTGAATCATAACATTTCCTCTCATTTCAGCTTCTCTACACTGTTGTGTTTTTGAATGTTTAAACTGCAAATGTTTATCCAGTAACTATTATTCATGTTCAAACAAAGCTTGCACATGAACTGGGGCTTGTCGTTGATTCCTACTAGCTTAAAAAATAAAAAAAAGCAAAGAAAAGTTATTCTTGATCAAAGAGTCAGACACATGTACACTGCTACAGCTGTCAGCAGAGGTCCCACTTCAACACATTTAACACCGTGTCTCAATAATGAGAACTTGTCAAGTGTCAGACTGCCAGTGTGTGTGTGTGTGTTCTTCGAGGTTGTATTACTTACCCAACTTTGGCACGAGCTTTGGGTCCCCAGAAGGCCTGAGGATTCTCCTGGAATCGGGTCAGGTGGCGTTTACGGGACTGAGGGTTGGCGTCTTCCCTTACAGTGAAACAGGCCTCCAGGCTACACAGAGACACAACAACCACACATTAAGGTTAGACTCAATTTGTCTTAACAGAAACTGGTGAAGATAAACTTTTTGACAGCGGTACCGGCTGGTATTACAGACTCTATGTCATTTTCAGAAACAGAAGAATCAATCGTGTCCTGAAAGGTTCAGAACGTCAGCACAGGTCCAGCATCTCAGACCAAAACAAACGACTTCATCTCCCTCCGTCCTTTCACTTTCATTTAAGACAAAAAAGCCAACAAAAACTAATCCGGCCGCAATCATTACCTACACAAGTGAAATACACTAAAGCAAACTCGTGGCCTCCTACTTGACATCAAAGTGCATTTTTCTCTCTCACATACCTATGCGAGTCGTTGTCCTGTTCTATGTTCCTGTTCTATGTTTTATCACTTGTTGGCTACCAGGCTCATTACAGCAATGCGAATTAGCAGCGTTACTCACTTGAAACATGATTCGGGAGTGTCACCAAGTGGAGAGAAAATATATCCTGTCACCCAGTGCAAATGCATGTTTGTTTGGCTTTTTTCTATCTGTGTGAAAAGCTCTTCTCCACCATGAACTTTAATAAGTCAAAGTGCAGGTCCAAACTTACTGATGAGCATCTTCAAGCAACACTGAGAGACTCAACTGTTTCCTCCCTCAAGCCAAATGTGGCTCAGTTGTGTAAGAGGAAGCGCTGCCAGGTCTCTGGTAGCAAGGAGTAGGAAGGAGAAGCCTATGTTCTGAAGAATATTCATGTTTTGAATATGAATCATGAATTGTTATTAATAAAGATTGAGAAGACTGGATCAGTTGTACGTCTTTTTGGAATACTTGAAACCCTTTCTTTGTGGAACCCTTGATGCGGCCCAGCCTCACCCAGACTCTACCTCCAGCGGCCCCCGGGTAAGTTGAGTTTGAGACCCCTGCATTAAGGGCTGTAATGAGTTGTTGTCAACTTCGTTACAGCGGTCCATCGGACCGGAAGGGAACCGAGGACGGGTCAAAGTGAACCCATGTGTGGAAACGGACACACAAACACTAGAGAGGAAAAGACACGAGTAGCAAAGGAGAGCAGCAGAAACTCTCACACTGAGCTGAAATGAAATAAGTGCATGTAAACGAGTAAAAACCATGAATAAAATACTTTTCTTTTTTTTTTTTTTAAGTCTTTGTTTTTGGGGGCTGAATGCTGGACTGCACTTCTGTTGTTCCAATGTGGAGGGGAGGTCACTCTTGGTCTGTTTCTAATAAGCATGCTGAGGGCCAGTAGTTTTAAATGGGTGAACTCACATGCACTAACATGTACACATGGATGAATTTAAAAAAAAAAAAAACAGAACAGAGAGGTCTTAATAAAGGATGGCGATGCTATATTAATGCTGAAAAGTTTGCACATCGCACCTTTAAGCATGATTGAATGTATAACATGGACCAGCTGAGTGATCACTGACAAGGTGGTAGGACTAGTCTCACCCTGGTTTAGTGGAGAGGATCTTGAACGCGGGGCTCGTCGGTGAAAGTTTCTCCCTCTTCACAGGGTTGGCCTGCTCCTACAGCAATCAAACATGCATGCGTCAGTTCAAGTAAATGATGCATTGCATGATTCTGGAAAGCACTTCGTCTTAATTGTATTAACAACAGCAGACAGAACAGTCAGGGTTTCTAAAAATGACTCCGGTATTTTTTTAATGTTTACCCAGCATCGCATGATGTCCCAGATGGCTGCAGGAGGAGCGTCTGTCTTGATGGCGTTCTTACAGGCGTGAGAGAGGGAAACCCTGTGACCAGCATGAAGGAGCGCCGATCTGCAGGCGAGATGCAAGACATGTTGATTCAGTTTGTGACAAATGTAGGGTAGAAATGTAGGATGACCTTTGACGCACACGCTGAAAGGTGTAGGTACAGCAGCAATGTGCCTCGCTCATTAGTTTCAAACTGCATTATTTTCATTGTATTTTAAACTTAATGACGGTGGCACTAATCAAAAAACCCCACTTATTTCCCATTATTTGAATTACTGAGAATAACCTGAGATCTATATAGCAATCTAAAGAGTAGGGGCTGAGGGGAACTATTTAGATGAGCTCTTTAAAGTTAGTATTAGGGGCTAATGGGTTGCATCCTGTCAATGAGAGTCCCAACAAAAGTAGAAGTACAGATGTGTGTGTGTGTGTGTGTGTGCGTGTGCGTGTGTTTGTGCTGTGGGGACATAAATCTGTTTACATCGTCTTATTGCAGGAAGCCACTTTCCTTTCGGGGACAAAACGCAAACCCCCTCAATGTAAATCATTACATTTCAGTGTGAAGACTGTGTTTAAAGTTTGGTGCATTTTAAGTGTCAGGTTCGGGAAGTAGTAGTTATGGTCAGAGTAAGTCTCCAGGAAGTGATTATAAGTCAACGTGTTGTCCTCGGAAGTGATGGAAACTGTGTGTGTGTGTGTGTGTGTGTGTGTGTGTGTGTGTGTGTGTGTGTGTACCTAAACTGGAGCAGGGGTGGAGTATTACAGTGTATTGTGCTGCTCAGACTGTCCACAGTGTAATAAAGAGGCACATCTTCCAACTCCTGAAACAAACAACACATCAAAGGTAATAATTCATCAGTCGAGCAGGAAACAACAGCAGCAGCTGCCAGTCAGGAAGATTATTATCCAAGTATAGAAAACAAGATATACGTGACACAATGTAAAGCTACCTGATGAACCTAACCGCACCCACATGACAATACCAGCACATGATACGAATCCCTGTGATGAGAACATATAAAAAGGTAAACGAATACCTCAGTCACCATGCTGAGCATGCCCTCGATACGTTTGGATGTCCCAAATCTGGAAGGGTTCCCTGACACGCCAGACAAAACCTTCTGGACAAACGCCAAGTCGTGGATGGGCTCTGCCCAGATGGGACCACCCAGCTACACAGAGGACCGACACAGGCTTCAGTGTTTACACAGTAACAACCACAACCAAGACGAGAACCTTTCACACAGTCCACATGAGGCAGCAACAAAAATCTTCAGACAGTATTCTCACTCGGCAAAAAAAAATAAACCTGCTGTCAATAATGTAGTTACAAACAATAAGTTAGCTTTAAAAAATGATAAGAAACGAAGTAGCCTCGTTTTATATGTATGTCTATGAATATATACATAACTGCGTGCACTGAGGAGATGTGTTTGTGTGTTTGTGTGTCACCTGGTGTCTCTGTCCACAGTGTTCACACTCTGGTCCTACTGGAGGTCCGGTGGCAGCAGAATACTTCATGCTGAAATCAGATAAAACGCAACAGAGCTGCAATGATGAACTGAATGGTTGTCAACTATCAAATCAATCCACAACTGTATCAATAACAGACTCATTGGTTTGAGTTTCAATCAAGAAATCAGGAAGTAATCAATCAAGAAAAATATTCCACAGATTAATCAAAAATGAAAATAATCACGAAGCTCTAACACAAAGTGGGTGAAAAGCACATGCGATAAGGAGATGTAACGGCAAAAATACCTGCCGATGATATCACAGCATTATTAAGAAACTCTTTCATATTTAACAGCCAAAACTTTAATTTTACTTTTTCAAATAACTGAATCTACAGCTCCTCGCTTGGTGGCGACGAGCCTTTCTACTTTCTACTCCACTGCAGGCCATCTTCATTATTTAAGCTATTTAAAAAATATCAGCTCATTTGAAAACCCTCTGTTTCTTTCTGCTATTTTCCTCCTTTAACATCTCGGAGCTGCCATCGTCAACCACGTGGCACGGAGTGTGAAGACTTTTATTTCCAGCGGAGTCTGCTGCGGGAGAGTTTGCTGATAAGTGCACCTTGATTTAACCATCACATGCGAAACATCACAAGACCCGGCAGTACAGTTTGTGCTGTCTTACTGTTTTCCGTTGCTCGTTCTCCTGCCCATTCTCTGGAAGTGGAAAGAGCCGCAGCCGACACAGTTGTACACCAGGGCCTGTTTGCTGCAGCGCGGGACGAGGGGAAAGGACAGATTTAAGTGCTGTGTCTCACCATTGTGCATTTTATGTCAAATATCACTCTGTCAGTGTGTGTGTGTAGGTGGTGTGTGTGTGTACACCATGTGACAGCTATTAGGTACACACACGCATTTACGCAACTGTTCATATGGACACAGGCACCTGGAAATTACATATTCTTTTGTCTTTCGTTCTTTAAAAAATGAATCTAAATAGTTCACATTACATTTCTATACATTCCCTGCATTCTATATTATTTGATCTTTTTTCATTCCTTTATCTCACCGAGTTCTGCAGCTGACATTACTTTAAGAATTTGTTGCTGCAGTGACCCAGTTTCAGGATCATTCATCTTTCATCATACAGTATATCAGCCTTTGCTAGAAGACAGTATATGTGTGTGTGTGTGTGTGTGTGTGAGCACCTGGCTGAGTTTTTGACTGTAGCCTGTCCTGTGAAGACGCGTACAAAGACCCGAATGTAAAAGTCGACGCTGACGGACAGCAGTGGCTGAATGTATCGCTGATACACGCCCGCCCGCTGATCCAAACTGTGGAGGATAATACGAAGAGCCTACAGGGGCGGGAAAACACACACACTTATTATTTCGTCTCGATGGCAAAACCTGCGAAACAGAAAGAAGAAAGAAAATGTTGCATTAAAAAGTATGAGAAGAGTGAAACGTGTTGAAGGAAAGGGTCATTTGACTGCAAGTGCTTTTAGGAATGTTGCCCTTCAAATGTAATTTCAGACGCTATTTATGGTCGGCACTTTTACAGTTATAGCCGTTAAATGTATTTTGATTCTGTAATTGCCTCTCTACATACTAGTTTTCAATTTTAGTCTGCCACACAGAAGACGCATGCATTTAATCAAGTGTTACATGACTGTGTTCTGCTTCTGTGTGGAACAGGATTTTCATCAGCGTAAAATCAGGTCAGGATGATCTTTAGATGACGGAAAAAGGCTAACTATAGACTAATAACATCAGAACAATACGAGTTTGTTGGGCTGAACTGAACTAGAAGCTCAAAAAGTGCAGCGGCATCAAAAAACCCACACACGCTGTTACTGTATTACCAGTAAAATGGGTGTTATTAAAATCAACAAGTGCGGAAATCATAGGGTTGGAGCTCGAAAGATGCCGGGAGCAACAAACTGTCATGAGCTTGAAGGATTTCTCTACTTGATTCAATTGTAGCCTCAGGACAGGATCTATTACAAGCTTTGCTGTGTCACCGTCAGACTCACACGCATGCTGTATGCATTCAAACACCAAAGATTAAGACGTTATGAGTGTGAAAATGCTGACATGTCTGTACATGTACTGCATGTGCATTTTCACATTGCTGAGAGTGTGTGTGTGTTCTCTGCGCCCTCACCATCTCATGACAGTATTTGGCTTTGATGGAGACTGAACCGTATTTGCTGTAGCAGGTTTCTCCACTGTTTCCTGCCATCACCGCCATGTCTGTACATGTTACACACAGCAGCCCTGAGAGAGACACAAACAGACAGACAGTCAGCGAAGGCGACTGACGAGAACCGCAGGAAACACAAAAGACTTCCTTTGGCACCTCAGACAGACAGTACAGTAAAGTAACTGTGTGTTTTAACCCTCGAGTTGCACATAACAGGTGAGGTTTGTCAAATTAGGCAGTTTCACTCAGTGTCAAGCGGGCTTTAAAGAATAAAGAGCATTCTCTGCTTTGTCCCACATACAGCGAAGTCATTTTGAGACATAATAGGATAAAAAACCAAATAAGAATTATTTCACAAACAATATCTGACCTACTTCTGATCCAGCTGTCAAGTTGATTTCATGCCAATTTTTGACAAATAAAATGCAACTGAATGCGTTTCTTTAAAGCCGGCTGAAAGCAAATAGCTAACTTTCATGAATGTCACATGCATCAAAAGAAAAACAACAAAGCCAAAAATGTGTTATTTTTCCAGCTTATAACACACCTTAACCATCCATGCAGACACAGGACACAGAGAAAGTATTTGCCCCCCTACAGAGATTTCCTTTGTTGGCACATTTGTCACCCCTAAATGTTTGCGATCATCAAAGTAATAGACAAAGGTAACCCAAGAAAACACGAAATGCAGCTTCTACATGATGATTTCTTTTACTGAATGAAAAACACTGTCCAGCACCACCTTGACCTATGTGGAAAAGTAATTGCCCCCTTAGCTACCTCCAATCCACCAAATGACATTTGGCAACTGGATTTAATTTCACCAGTGACACCCACATATGATTACTGCCAGGCTTGTTGAATCTAAACATCACTTGTCTGACATTGTGACGTAGCCAAAGGGTCTTAAAAAGCAGCACATGAAGCCATTCAAGAGTGGTAAATGAATTATATCGCGCTTTCCTACCTTAGCAGCACTCAAAGCGCTTTACAATGTTTTCTCATTCATCCATTCACACACATTCATACACCAATGGTGATGATTTTGACAGACAAAAACTAAAACATCACATTAAATTTTCTACCCGTAAGTAGAATTACCACCTACTCATGGTTATATTCTTTTGCCAACCAGCACAGTTGCAGTTAGACTTTAATTGGTGGGAACCCAAGATTAGTCACCAATTTAGTTTCCAACGAAATGTGAAATAAAGTCAAAATCTCTCCTTTTGTTCCTGAGACAAGCTGTTAAACAACGGGCAGAAAGCTGTTTCTGCACAACGTTATGATGTCACAACTAAGCCGACCTCCTACCTTGTGGATGTATGATATGACATCACTTTATCTTTTTTGGCATTTGTGTGAAAATTGTCAAAATTAGCGTATGAATTGTTAAGTTGTGGCGGCCGTGGCTCTGGCAGCAGAGTGAGTTCTCCACAGATCACAGGGTCGGCACTTCGATCCTCAAAGAGCCAAAGAGTCCTTGGGAAGAAACACTGAACCCCACACTCCTCCCAGCTGCAGACCAGCACCCTACATTAAAGCTCTCCTGCCATCGGTGACTGAGTGTGAGTGTGAATGAGAAACACATTGTAAAGCTCTTTGCAGAACCTTGTTGAGGTTAAAACCTGCTATCTAAGAGCCGACCAGTTGCCAAATGTGTGTTTAGTGAGGTCACAGTGATCTTTGACCACCAAAATTGAATAAGTTGAATCCAAGTGAAGGTTTGTACAAAATTCGATGCGGCTCCCTCCGGGCGTTGAGAGGATATCGTGTTCATGAATACAGACAATCTGAAAACACAGCGCCTCTGGCTACAGCTTTTGCTCGCATACAAATCAAAAACACTAATGTCATTTTGAAGCATCCACCGACTTTGAGGCTGAAAAAAAGGAGCTGAAGATCTCGAACTCCGGCACATTGTCGGTGGGACCTACCCTGATCTGCACAGACTCACTACCAGCTTGAAAATTCAGTCAAATTCGGGTCATGATTGAACTACCCACCTCCTTCACTGACAGCCTGCACAGCAGCATCCAGGAAAGAGGCGGGGCTACCGTAGGGGTCCAGATCGATGACATCATAGCGCTCCTTCTTCCCTCGCATTTCATACATCAGCATACTGGAATAAAGAAAGACAGACAAATGCTTATTGTGTTTGCAAATTCATTTCTATGACCCCTGGAAGAAATGTGGGCTCCTGTGCACGACGACAAATCAAGGCCAGATTAAATAATGGGTTGATTAGTTCAGAAAAGAAAGAAGATAAATGACTGAAGAGGACAGAAGAATAGATGCCTGAAGACTAGCCAGTCAAAGAGAAAAAAGGCGACGAGCACAGCGGAAAGAAAAAGGGCAAAGGAGTAATAAAGAAAGAAAAATAAAGAGACAAGAATGAACAAGATAAGAGGAAAAGCCGAGGGATGAATAGAAGGAACAGTCAAAGGTGAAAACTGCAGAGGAATGAAAACTATAGAAGCGTTGGATAAATACAAGAGCAGGAGGAACATCGGACAGCAAATCAGTGAACCTGACAAATAACAGTGGCAGAACAGCGGAAAACAAGCATTTATCTGAACATGCTGAGTAATCAGACCTGGCGTCTCTGCAGCTGGCCTGCAGGAGATGGCTCACTCCATTGTACTGGGCATTCCTGGCGATCAGGGCGGCAGCTTTGGTGGAGAAGTCATTGGCGGTGACGCTCTGCAGACCTGGAACCTCCAGAGCGAAACGGACCGAGCGCAGACCAGACGCTGCCAGGCCCTCCAGGACACGAAGACCACGCTGAAACAAAAATCAAACTTATGCACAGAATGTTTTTTTGGGGGGCAGCAGGAACACGACCTTTGCACATTAGCATGTTATAAAGTTGATGTGGTGTAACTATAACGGCAGACGGCTGCTCTGTTTGTACATCCACCAAACAGGGTGTCACATTACCGTTCATCAGTCATTTGGAGTTTATATGTGGCTCTTTAGCCGCAGCATGCTAACCTGCATGCACTGACTAATCACTAGCTTTGTCATTCTGCTGTTTGTCGCTGAACAGGCGGTGGTCAATGCATATACCAGAACTTTGTCGTTTCCTTTTGCTACTACAGCTGGTTGCTGCATGTGAAAATAAGCTGAGAGGAATGTTGTGAATGGAAACATTTGTGAGGAGTAAAACCGAAACAAGCAGCTGAAAGGCAGCAAAGTGCTCCTTAGAGCTGAAGACAACAACAAAGTTATGTCGGTTCACTACCAGAACAAGTCCTCTAACAGTAAAGACATCATTTGGCCACGATGTCAAGGAAAATATTGATTATCCACTTGACATCAACCCCTTTTGAGTTGACAAGATGGCGCTGGTGAGGTCGGCTACCGTCGTACCTGCTCCAACCTTTTGCTTGTATGCAGCTGTTCTACTTTTCAAACACATTTCACTGCACATTGTACCGTGTATAAATGTGTATGTGACAAATAAAGCTTATATTGAATCTCTTCTTATGGATATTTTTCTCTATTTGGCATAGCAAAATGGAACCTGTAAAAGAGAAGAACTGTAAAGCCAAAATGCATGTGTCAGACTTGATTTAAAAGGTAGCATGTTCCCGTTTCTGAAAGTTTGCTTGTTTAGCATGTGGCTAAAACACAAGCCAAACATGACTCAAAAAAGGTTGTGTTTTTTGTCCTTGTCTATAATAAATCATATTTGAGTTACAGTAACTACGACATGCTTCGTGTCAGAACTATGTATGTCACCACATACTTTCTACATCTTTCCAACCAGAACTGTGTAAAATTCCAGTCCAGGCTTAACCTTAAGGGAGGTGGGGACTTTCCATAAAATGAGCTGAATAGTCGAATTGTGGAGAATCTAACCGAGTTAACCACATGTAGCGTGTCCATATTGATAACAGTTTCAGCTTTATATCTTTAAGCGCATGGCTACGCTGCCTTTGTGTAATCGGGTCCCTGCCAACCTGGTGGCTGGTTGAAGTAACTTCAAAGCTGCAGTGGAAAAAAAAAAAAAATGTATGTCTGCGTATAAGAACTCATTTGTCAGGTCAAATCCCAGGTGGTGCAGCAGAAACTGTAACAGAATGTTCTTACTTTTAGAATTCATACATTTTCCCACGATCACCATCAGGATGTTTTCTTCTTTGGATAATCAACCCAAATTCAAACTGCAAATTACAAGTGCGAGTGCTCTGTTGCCCAAAAAATGAGATCACTAGCGACGGCATCACGCTGACCAACTAAGGAAAGTTCAATTGTATGTGTTTACTGGACACTAATGACATTATTTCAACCTAATTAAATCTCTCAAAGTTTCATAAAATGATCCAATTACGTCTCTCTCTACAACTTGAAGCAACCAGAGTGTGAAATTACCTTGTACAACATTAACATAAGTCATTTGATGGAGGCCCTTATCCAAACAGCTTCACACTGGAACCAGTGTGTATATTTTTAGCCCCAGTGGAAATCAAACCACAAACTCTGACAGTGTTAATACCTCACTTCAAGCTACAGAACCACACGCAGAGTCTGACAACATTGAACACATCCAAAACATAAACATTTCCACTTCTTTTGCCTGGTTTCACTTCCTTTAATTTTCACCATGTGTCATGATCCCCAGTAGCAAAAGTCTTCAGTCATATGACAGCAGCAAAGGAAACAAAACTGTATGTTGTGCTGGTTTAACTTGTATTTTGTAGTTTGCTTAATGCATCCAAGCTTTGTGATAGTAATGCATATCACAGAAAACGTAATTTACACAATATTCGGGGGAAAATAAAGATTTGAAATCTAGAAATAAATAAATGACTAAATTTAATTTGAATGAGACAAGCTGCATTCATACAGTTTTTTAATATTTAGTTTTATAAATTCAATCAGTGGGATTTTTTTTTTTTGGCAGTTGCAGCAATAAAATCAGCCACTTCACCATTACACTATAAAATCAGTCGTACGTACCTCACACTTCTCCCCTGCCGTCGCAGTTACAGCTGGCTCCTCTGCTCCATTTTTCTCCTCCGCCTGTACTTCAGCCTCATTCGTCTCCTCTGACAGAGAGACCACCACCCTCTCTTTTTCCCCCGGCACCACCACCTTCACTCCGCGCTGAGCCAGCAGATCTCTAGCAAACTCTGTGATCACAGCACATCTGCAAACAAGAACAGAATTTATTTTATGCCGTAGACAAACATGACAACGGGGTGAAATCGGCGCTTAGCTGTGTTGAATGATGCTTTCGTCCCACACATAGATGACAAGAGGTTATTTTCTAAACGATCAGAACAAAAATTACATTCGTTGTTCTTGCATTTGAAGGGCCGCTTTTTCAAAGCCGATTGGCAAACTGCAACTGAGTAATGGAGTGTCTGTGTGACACATAGCTGTGATCATGCAATTCAAATGAGAGAGGCCCCGAGCCAGCAGAGCAAAATATGCAATATTGCTGCAGAGTGAAAAATATAATCAAGAGACTGAGTGAAAACTTCTCGTCTTGCTCGCAGGATATTTTTACCTCCACTGAGGTCGTCCGGTTTTTATTCCTATGTGATCATTTGTATTTAGTGGAACATCTCAAAAACCGCTTAACAAACTTTAATGGGGATTTTAATGAAACTTGATGGAAGGTTTTATGAGGAACAAACAAAGAACTGATTGGTTTTTGGTCCAGATGGCTCCACCATGTGGCCACTGGACAAATATTTTACTGTGAGGCACAGAAGGAAAACATTTTTTTTTTATTTCTTTTTTTAATAAAGATTTCCCGACAAATTCAGTGGCATGTGAGCTTTAGGTGGTGCTACAAAAACATGACGAATTAAACTGGCACCAACTCTGGTCATGAGTCTACCTCACTTGAAGTAAGGCACAGTTTGTCCTTTTACAGAGGCTTAACAGGATTTAGATGTTAATGCAGATTAAATACTTTTCTAGACATATTCTTTTATTAAAAGAGTCTATTTAACCATTGAGAGAAGATGTCACTCAATCTTCCTTTTGAAAAGTTACAGTTCAGTCCACGAGTGACTGATAAGTGGTAGACTCAGGGGTTTTGCCACTTATAGATAGATACAGGTGATGTGGTATGTTGGCTTATGTGAGCACAATCAGGGTAAACACAGTCCGTCTGTGTAACTAACACCTCTACTGCTTTTGGTACACAACATTTAGCATTTTTATGGTCCAGAAACATGTTGAGGTTAATTGGTGATTCTAAACTGTCCATACGTGTGAATGTGAGTGTGCTTGGTTGTCTGTCTCTAAGTGTAGCCCTGTGATAGACTGGTGGATAGATTACAGCCCCCCGCAACTCTAGTGAGGATTAAGCGGTGTATAGATAATGGACGGATGTTATTCTGTAATTTGTCACTTATGATCACATTTCAGCAGAAGGCACAATTTTTCTGATACCCTTTGCGAACCTACAAGTTTGTATCCACTCTCTACTTTAAAAAATGTAGCTCAAATTCACACTCACGTTAAATCTCTGTTAAACTCCTGGACTGGGTTGTAAAACACCTCATTGGCACTTGGGAACAAGATGGCTGCCTTTCCCTCCTTGACCACCGTCTCTCCAGGTAACAGTCCTACAGGAGGTGTCTTCTCCTGGCCGCCTGTTGTGTCAGTGGCGGCAGGGTTCGTGCTTTCTGCAGAAAATTCAGCAGGTGTGGGCGGAGGGTTGGTGGTGGGAGCCTCAGGGTCCATTGATCTCGGTCCCCTGCTGGCGGCAGCAACACTGCCAACACCCCACCGAAATGTCTGCTCCAAAGGACGGGTGCAGGAAGGATGCAGGTGATGGGAGATGATGAGGGAGAGCGGCCGCGCTGTCCGCACCAGCATAAAGGAACACCGTCTGCAAAAACACACATCAAAAACATTGAAAATGTCTGAAAAAGGCAACATTTCAGGAGGTGTTTAGATAAAATACAACCTGGTGGTTTGAAATAAACACATGTCACAAACATCTTTTCATTAAGGTTTCTAAAGTTTGCTTTTGGGATATCTGAAGAAGAAACTTGGCATTGGGTTGAGGGGTACAAACCACGGAACGGACAAACATCTTTGGCACTTTCTTACTGCAATCTCTTGTGACACAACAACCACCATATGCAAGTAATACTGACATATCTGTGTACAGCAACAATATTAGTCATGCCATTGACCAGCTAGGCAGACATCTGCAGATCAATTTGTGTCCAATATAGGCCTGTTTTTATTTAGTACAGTTTCTAGATCATATCTAGAGGATCATGTTGAAGAAGCTATTACTATTAATTATTTTTATTATTGGTTAATCTTCAAATGTATTTATTTTACAGATAATTGCTTATTCCATAAAATAAAATAAAAATAAAAAACTGACAGTCAGACCTTCCCAGAACCCCACTACATATTTGCATTTTGATTTGAAAAATGATTTTAATGTTATAATTATCAAATTTGTTTATTTCCTGTCAGTCAACTGACTTTTTTCCCCATTTGTTAGCACTGCACATAACTAAGCCATTAGAGCTGGAACTGTACCTTTATCTTAAGCGGAGGAATTGGCCATTATGTTTTTTTCTGTGCTGATACGGATTATTAGGAATCAGGGAGACAAATAACCAAAATTAGAAACCGACATACATTTGTGGTAAAAATTTTACATTTTGTGCCAAAATTTAGATTGAAACAGAAAACTTGGTTGAAATGCTTTTGTTTGTTTGTTTTGTGTGCATCCATTTATGAGAAAACTTTTCAAGATGAATCCATCACAAGTTATTATTTGTGATTCATCAGTCTGATCATTTAAATTCTTGAGGCCACAGAGAGGTGACTGCAGACAAAAGTCAAGCTGAAGTAGCACATTTTTAAACTGACTTAACTAATTTGAAATCAGTTCTGGAAAAAAAAACACAGTTAATCAATGGTGAAGCCCAAATGAGCCACACTGCTAATTCAGCCAATCCCTACTTCAGTGATGTGCAAGTTAGCACATTCATGTCTGTCTGTATAACAAAAGTAATATGACATGTAATCCATTATAATACCATGTTGAGCACAATAATCTGCAAATACTGTCTATTTAATGTTAAAACCGGTCATCAGGTCCAATAAAAGTTCCCAAATCTCAAGGTGAGGTCCTTTGATTTGTCTGACAAAGATATCCTAGAAGAAAAACTGCAAATCTGAACATATACAAAGCTGGACACAGACAAGGTTTGGTGTTTTGCCCAAATAAACTGCTTACACAACCATCTGCTGCTGGGAATTACTCAATCAATTCAATGATCGATTAAAAGAGACTTCTTGCAGCTCAACCAAGCAGATTAGGTAAAACTTCTGCATGTCCTCTAAACTGTTACGTTAACTCGCCTTCAGTGTCTTTAACTTGGTGTCTTGCGATAAAATAACTGTGAGTTAACATTTAACCAATACATTAAAAGCAACTTTTTACTTCACACAATTTTCTGCAGCTGCGAACAACACAACAATCCCAGCAACATAATTAGCATAGTTGCTAGCTAGGCTAAACAAGTACCGGTAAACACTTTTTTTTTACCTGTGTCACCTCCTCTACGGCCAACACTGCCTTTCTGGGTTTGGTTGCTAGATAAACACAGTAGGCTCGCTATTCTTCAAGTACCGGCAGCCACAGTGTATGCTCGGTTTGCGGTTTGCTCTCACGTTAGCACATGGAAGCGACCATGTCTGGAGCGACTCTACGGAAGCCGGCGCGGTCACAAAAGCGAGTGCGCGCCGGCCGCTCCCCCCGCCCCTGCGGCAGAGCCGAGTAATGTCAGGGAAACGGTGTAATGTAAGGACAAGAGGGAGAGGGTCGATCAGTCAGCCTGCTGCACAAACTGGCCTACTTTCTCCCGCAGTGAACATGTGAGGAGACTGGAAAACACATCAGTCTGCTTTCATGAATAATCTAATTTAATCTCACCGTGCCTGAATGCTTTCTGATGAAAAGGCTAAACATAGCCTATGGATTAACCACAATATCCCTCAGACCTATGATGTGAGCAGATAAAAACTGCCTGGGAGAAAATAAGGTCAGAGCGGGTCAGTGCTGTGCAGCACAGCCAATGTACAGAAACAGTAAAGTGAATTTAGCTCCTTATGACATGGGAGTGATTCTGGACAAGAAATAAAACAAGTAGCTTGTGGGTTATTAAGCTACTTACAGTTTGCAGCTTTAAATGACCGTTCCTTTTTCTGGCACTGAATGCTGCCACACATTAATGTATAGAAAAGGCCAAACTGTGCCTCATTTGATCTTCAAAATAATCAAACGTTTGAATTAAAGAGGCCTATTTGTCTTTTTAGGGGTTTTTTTTTGCATCAAGTTGAAGTTACATGTTTTATGTTTAATCCAGAGATTGGACCTGGATTACCAAAGCAGTAAACTGGTTTGCTCAAGAAAAAATAGATATTTTATACATATATTTCTGACATTTTAGCACAGTATAAGTTTGAGATTCTTGTTCATTCTGAGGCCTTTAGTGTGTTCAGAGGCCCGGCTGTAAACTAAAGGGGACAGAGTGTTCAGCAAGCAGTCAGTGTGTAATGATCTGCCTGAGGAAATCAGATCAGCTGAGTCCTATCTAAGTCTCTTTTTAAAACATACCTTTATCTGATTTTGTTTGAGTTATTTTTCATATATACCAGTTTTTATGTGTTAAATTCTAAAGATTTCATGACTTGTTTCTTATTTTGTTGCCTGGGTAACTAGGATTTTTAAAAGTGCCCCATAAATAAAAAAATAATAATTATTACACCTTTTTTTTCAGCTGTCACAAAGTTAGTTTTAACTTTCTGTGTTGCACATTTCTGAAACAAAAAGTCACCACACAGCAAACCTGAAGGTATTTAGTATTCCAACAAATAAAAATGGGACAAATTATTTAGGAATAGTGGGATCAACAGGGTCCCCAGTAGCTCTTGACCCGCTTAACAACACAGGCTGGGTCCTCTTGCAAAATTATGTAAATGTGTTGAACTTTTTTTAGATATTTTATGTTCTTTTTTTGCAGCTTTATTCCATTTAAGAGGGAAATATACCTAATTCTCACTATTTTGCAATATGAACGTCATCATCTTCAAAATCCTGGTGCATAGTCACTAATTAAAGTGTCTAACATTACATTCATATTTTTAATTTAGCTTAACCTTGAACTGCTATAGTAAAATGGTAACTCAACAGTGACTGCTGGCTGCACAAAGGGCACTTGTGCTTTTTGACTACACACTGTAGTCCGCGTCAACCACTACTTAACTCCAATTTAATACTTAGAACCTAGTTTCAAGGCTGATCACAATGACTTCTAATGTGATCAGTGCCAAAAATGCTTTAGAATTTACATTTCATTTGACTCCTGGACCAGCAGTTCATATCTCACATTTAAGACTAATTGATAATGAAATAAATCAAATATATAAAATCCATATAATTAAAACAAATAGACATTTTTTTTAGGTAAAACTATTTGAGAATTCAGCTGGGTTTGTTGGAGGACTCAGTATTTCTAGTCATGTGGGCTCCTGGTAATTGACTATTTAAAAAAACAAACACTACTATCACATGATCAGAGCTCTTCTACTATCACACATGTGATCAATCAATCTCACATCTACTGTCATACATCCACCGTCGCTCTGTTTTATTTAGTGTATTGCATCCCTTATAAAATGGCACATGGATGACTGTGAGTGAAGGGCAAAAAAATAAAAAATAAATCTGCATATACTGTATGCACACAAGCCTGAACATCTGGATGGGGGCGCTGTGACAATGAATGCCCAGAGAGCGTGGCGCTATACATCTGACACAGGAGAATTATAGAGTTAATAGTATTTGGCATGACAGGGAGAGAGAGCGGGGAGCGCAGTGCCGTGCCTGAATGCAGTCTCATCCTGTTTAGTATTCACTGTGCGCAGCGCCTGGAGGCCCCGGAGGGCTCACCTGCCCGGAGTCTAGACGCACTATCACGCACATTAGACGGCGGGATCGAACCGACAGCCCCCGGCTTCACGGTCCGCGCGGTGTCGGCCAGGAGGGAATCGGTTCCAGCACCTAAAAAACACCCCGGTGAGTGAGTGGGTAGAGTGGGTGGACTGGTGGGTGGGGCTCAGACAGTCGGGTCGGCTGGGGACGCTGCCTGTCTACCTGCCTGCAGCGGCGCGTGGGCTCTAACCTGTAATCCGCTATTCCTACAAATGTAATCTCATTACTTGCGGTGTTTTTGCGACATTACTCGTTACATTAGATATATTCCCGCCAAAATTATATTATTTCTAGCCAATTTTAACCGAGATGCAAAATAAAAATTTAAAACATTTTGGTGTTTATTATGAACACAAACAGCCCTATAAAATTCAAAATAACAAAAAATGAATAAAAAAGGACCAATTGTAGATGTTTCCGCGTTGTTGTAATGGAAAGTATTATCAACTTTGTTGCTGATGATGAAAGAAAACAAACAAGAGTGCAGAGGTGAGCCTATAATGTGTCTTTAACTTGTGTTTAAGGGCTTTGGTGACAAATCAAGGCCCATTTTAAAGTTAGATTATTGTAGTTTAATTTGACTTATTAGACCTGTCAAGTTTTTTATTTTATCGTCAATAAAATAGTTTTAGGATAAAGCGGCTCCTCTAATTTAGTATTGCTCACTAGAGGTAACTGGAATTACAGTAGATAAGGTGCAGCGGTAATTTGCCAAAAGTAACAGGACAGTGCAGGCAGAGTCGTTATCTGTCTGTCTACCTGTCTATCGGTCAGGTCGATCGGTAGCTCTGCGATCAGTCTGCACCCCCTGGGAGAGTTAAAAAAAAAAAAAAAAAAAGAAAAAAGAAAAGGAAAAAAAAAAAAGAGAAAAGGCCCGCTCCGCTCCTCTGCGTCCCCCTCCTCGATAGCTCTGCNAAGATGGAGTGCCAGGATCGCCCTCCGCTATAGACCCCCCTTCTTGTCCTCTCCGGTAAAAAAGAAAAAAAAAAAAAAAAAAAAAAAAAAAAAAAGAAAAAAGAAAAGGAAAAAAAAAAAAGAGAAAAGGCCCGCTCCGCTCCTCTGCGTCCCCCTCCTCGATAGCTCTGCGCTCCGCTCCTCGCGCCCGCATGTGTGTGTGTGTGTGTGTGTGAGTGCGTGCCCGCCCGCGCGCGCGCACGTGCCAGTATGTATGTGTATGCATGAATTGTGTGCGTGCTCCGGCTGCTGGTTCACAGCATACAGTCACAGTGAATGACTGTCTGTAGCGTGGCGGAGGGAGACATTAGACCGCTTCTTCTGCGCCGAGCCTCCATTGAAACACTTTCCAGCGGAACACAGCCGAGGGGGTGAGTGAAGCGCGGCGGGTCACCGTGCACCACAGTTCGGACTCGGCCGGCGAGACGGGTCGGTCAGTTGTCCGGGTCCCCGCACTGTTTATATGCGTGTGTATGTGTGTGTGGTGCCTCCTTGAATTTGGGTGATAGCAGGGTGGTGTACGCTGGTGTAGAAGTGGAGGTTAGGCTATTGTTTTTTGAGGGGAGTGTGGTGGTAAAGTTGTTCTGGCTACTATGGGGGATGGGCGCATGGGGACAGACCAAACTTTAACCACTTCACACCGGCTCCACTCACTCGTCGCCGCGGACTGTCCCCCCTCCTCCCTCCCTCCCTCCCCCCGGAGAGTGACTTGATGCTGCTCCCGTTTCTCCCGCATTCCTGAACTTTCTCAAAAACTACTCGGTGTTTTTGGGGGAAGGAGGGAGTGCAGCTTTCCCCTCTTTCTTTCTTCTCTCTCTCTTCTTTTTTTTCTTACACGCTGCATTTTTAAAAGCTCGTCGTTGCTTCGCCCAATATCACGGTGTCCTGTCGGTAAACGGGTTAAGATTTTACAGCCAGCCCCCTACTTTCCTTTCCCCTCCTCTCCTCTCTCCTCTCGCCATGCCGGATCCATCCGTCTGTCTCGCCCACAGTTGCAGCGCATTTGTGTCCCGGGATGACCTGTTGATGTCGGCTAAAGATGGAGTGCCAGGATCGCCCTCCGCTATAGACCCCCCTTCTTGTCCTCTCCGGTAAAAAAGAAAAAAAAAAAAAAAAATCAAAAAACGTTTTTAGAAAAAAACGGAGTTCAGCCAAGTGAACACAGCGCTGTGTGCTTTCCCGAGTCTGCGTTTTGTTGGAGATGTAATAAATAATTGATTCGCTGTGATATACCATAAGCGACATTTTGGGGGGGAACAACGCGTGCCTGTCCCGTATCGGTGGCTGCCATTCGGCCGGAGGAGGAGGAGGGAATTCGGTCTGGACGGACATCACACCGCGCTGGCACGGAAAGAGGGGAGACGGGGACAGCACGGAACTGCTGAATATTTCATCCCCTCGATTTTTGAGGCAGATCTCGTGCCTCCGGTTCCTCGGACGATAAACGTGCGAGTGTGCGTGTGTTGAGGGGAGTTGAAGCCGGGATTGACATACTAAATAAAGGAGAGGAGCTCTCTTTTTGTCCCTTTTCCGCCGCCGCCCCCTCCCCTCCCTCCCTCCGCTCAACGCACGCACACACCGGCCCGGGCCAGCCGAGGACTCCCAAATCCTACCGGGCATCGAGGCTGGCACACGGCGGGGCACTGAGAGCTCTCTGCCCGCTCTGACTGCCCTGCTGCACCGCTGGTGGCGGGCTCTTTCTCTCCCGAGGCGTCTGCCGGCGAGACATCGACTCCGCTAGACTTTCATGTGAGATTAATTGATGTATAATTGATGTGTATAAATGATATTTCGTTTTTGAAGTTTCAGCTCTAGTCGTGCTCTAGGGAGGCTACACTATAGCCACAATGTGGTGCCTGTCTACCCACGAGTGTCGCTAAATACCACATTTTCAGCCTTAAATGTCCTTAAACTAAAGGCCACACGAGGTTACAGTTTATTACTTGCGATTTAAAGCCATGTTTCCGAGTTGTACGTGTGTGTGAAGTGTTTTACTAATGCCAGTGTTAGCCTTAGCTTTAGCCTGCTACTTGCTAACAGGCCACCTTTAACCTCCCTAAACCAGGAAACTGAATGTGATTAGGTGGTGATTGATGTTGATATCACACGCATGTGTTTAGATAGTTGCCGGGATTGATTTTGTTCCAGCAGGCTGACTGCAGTAATCAGTTCACTCTTTTGGTATTTGGGTGTTAGCAGGAGCATGTGGTTGGTCTCCATAAAGTAAACCAGAGTTTGTGGCACTGGTGATGAATTTTTAAAAGTTGGGCAGGACACACACATGCAGGCACACACAGTTTATCATGGAGTCAGAGCATAATGAGGCACATGGGGACTGCAGGGCAAGGGTCAAGTGGTGTGAATTAACTCCCCTTTATGTTTCTTGGAAGTTGTTGTGACCTCGCTGACCTGTGAGGGGAGGAAAGGTGTCTGGTCGGATGTCCTTGGGTGACATGTCAGTGATCTACGGTTTTCTTTTAAATCAAACCAGGCAAGCGGTTCACTTGTGTGGAAGAACATGCTAGCTTTTTGGTTACGAAAATACACCAGCGGTTTTAACTTTTATCACAAATGCTGGTGTGTTACTGTGAATATCAGCAAAGCCTTTATTGTGCTGCCACTTGGTACGAGCTATGCATTCATTTTCGCCTTTGATTACTGTCAGGAGATTTTCTTTGCACACATGCCTTTTTGTCTTAGCGACAGCCTACTTATTATTCATATGATTGCACATATTTACACCTGGAAACAACCACAGGCATCTACTATTGGTCGCTGAGAAACTCCACTGGGATGCTTGTCGGTTCAATTGCTCGCTCAAGGCCACGGCGAGTGCAGATATTAGGGAGCAGACAGTATACATTGTGCATTTATAGTGCTTGTATTTTTTTTTTACAGACAGTGCAGAGGTGAAAAGCAGTAACTTTTATTCTTAAATCTTTCTGCTTTGTCAGTACCTTTAGGCATTTTAACTTGTCTTGATAGTCCACGTTACCAATAAGATCATGATGCGCTTATTAAAGTAGCAGTAATGTATGTAAACAAATCCTGGATAAGACCCAGAAATATCACTCCGAGCCACTTCAGATGAATTATAATTGCATTAATGCAATTCATATTGATTCCTTTTACATCAGCACAAACTGTCACGGCATAATAACGTGTCAGGGTACAATAGCAAGCAAAGACTGACTTTGCCAATGCATTATTATTAATTTTAACAGAGTAAGTTGGGGGAAACTGAACCATAATTTATGTATAGATTATATTACATAATGGTTTCTTGACATGATGAGAATGTTATTCAGATCAAATTGTACAGAGTGCTCCCAATCCAATAATCTTTTTGTGATCTTATGTTCTCATACAGAGCAGCACTGCCCAATTAATTAAGCATAATAATATTGTATTTGCAGTTAACACACTTAATACACACAGTAATATCAGCATTTTGCCAATCTTTAAGTATTTTTTTCAAACTAATGTGCTGCCTGCTCTTGAAAGCACCCATTGATGCTGAAAAGATAACCAAGACTGATATTTTAACATTAACTGTGTATGCTCAAGTACAGAATAGTCAACATTTTAAAAATGAAATGAAAAAAAAACTGTTAATTTATCCCATATTTAGCCGGAAAGGTCGGATTGAGACACCAGATCTCCTGTTCCAGGGAGCCCTGGAAAGGAAATGTGTAGCGCCGGAGTTGTAAACAGACGTGATTTACTATTTCTCTCGCCCCGCCGCCTTTCTTACTATGCCTGCATCTATCAAAATTAATTAGTTACTATAAACTTAAAAATGAATTATGATGAATTGCTGATGGCCCTCTATTCTCAGTGCTGCCCTTACGTAGGCGTAAGGCAGGAGCTCAGGACTGCTTTAGTTCACTTTTTTCAACCTTTGTTTTTCACCGAGGGAAGGTTTGCTGAGCATGCACACCACAGCACCCCCACTCACAATCACACCTGGAAGCTTCCCAGTACAACCACTATCTTTTATCGTTTGCCAGGGAGCAGCTCCACTGAAGGAGTTGGGGTTTAACGGGGGACTCCACATTCAGATGCCCTTTTACTGTTTTCTAATTTGATGAAGACCATACCAGAAGTTAGTGTATTTTGCAAAAAGTTGTAATTTACTTGTTTTGTTAACCTTAGTTTTGCAAAACTTTCCCAGAAGGACTTTCAGTGATTAAAGCATGAGTGTTTTTGTGCTGTATACTGAATGTGTGGTTATAATGAAAGGTTTTGCAACGAGAGACATTGTCATGTGTCTTGCCTAGCTGTTTACATTACATTAAAGCTGTCGCCACCAGATCAACAAAGTTCAAGATATTGCTGCACTCCACAATGCTGTGCTGGTTCTGGTTATGTAGAAATATGCATCTTTGCCTCCTTCCCCTCTGAGTGTTATTGTGCAATGGTGGACAGCCCTTCATGCTTTGAGGGAATGACAACATGAATTCAGGTCTACCTTTCATGCATCTCTGTCTTTAAGTGAGCTGAACAATTTGGGAAAAATATTTAATTGCTATTTTTTTGGACAGATGTTGTGATTGCAAGTTGAATAGCGATGTAATTTTTATAAAGTTAAGTTTCAGTTCAGTATTTGCTGTGTAATTAATTTAGCACGACCACATGAGATTTCATCAAAAGCACGACTGTCACACAAGCGGGACAGCATGAATTTATAAAACCACTTGGTGAGGATCGTTTAAACCCCGGGTCAGACAGGCTTTATAACGTTTATCCTAAATTGTGGCCATCGCAATTTGCTAATTGGATTGTTCCAATTGTGATTTCAATTTGAAATCGAAGGATTGTTAAGCCCTACTTCAAATCTCATTTTTGTTAAGCTGATGATTTCATGGTAAAGTTGTCCACATGTGCCATGTTAACCCCAAGAAAAACCACTAAACACACATATGGACATGTATTAGATTATTTTTTATCAGCTCCTTCTTGTGTTTTTTTTTTGTTGCTGTTTTTCACTTTCACCTGATTTGGAATATTCTTTTCTAAGTGGTGCATCCTAATTTCCATGTCTCTGTGTTGGTTGGTGAGAAATTTGCCTGAGGGCCACCTTTGCCTGACTTGCTAGTGATTAAATGCCTTTTAGTGTAAATTTTTTCGTTAAAGTGCTTTGCTCTTGAACATCTGGGCGGTAGCTGCTTAAGGAGCAGAGAAGCCAGCCTTTTAGCTGCTCATTGAATGGCTGGAGCTAATGTTTCTCATAGGTGTAGGTGGTTAAGGTATTTTTTTGTCCTCGGGCCATTTCCAAGGTCAGTTTCAGGGGGTTTGTTGTTGAATAATAGTTCTTATATATAAGGCCAGTTGTGCTGTGGGAGGATTGTGTTTACATTTGGAGGTGGCCATCGCATTCAAACTGAGTTCAGAGGTCAGCACTATAAATCAAGTTCAACATACATCGGATATCTTGTTGTTATCTGGCTTCCTAACAACTGCTATCATGCTAAGCAGCTACATTAAACTAGTTATCATCTCCCACTATATTTTTATATCTAGCTATAAACTTGTTCACATAAAAGGGGTGGTGGTGCAGCAGCTGACCAAACGTCTACAACTCTAGAGTTGCATAGTTTTCACCAAAAGAACTAACTGTAATCCTAAACCAGCAACAATAGCCAAAGCCAGAAATAAAACTGGCAAAAGCACGCACCAAGTGTGTGAATAAGTAGGTTAATAGGCTTATCGATAACACCGCCCCATCATTAATCGTAGATCTGACAATTTCAATCGAGAATTCCATTAATTTAATGTGCTGCTTAAATCTAGCCTGTTCTTATAGCGTGTAAGGGCCCTGTTCTTTCAGCTGCAAACCTGGCTTTGTTAAGCAGTCTTGGGAGCTGTTAATAACAAATATAAAAACATAATTCGAACCGGTAAGTAGGCTTACTGCAAATCTTAGAAGCTCAACAAGTGCTTTAGTGCTTTAGTCAGTCACTGTTTTATGATTATAGCCCACCATTAAAAGGCCTATAGAACAATTGTTTCAAAATTGTTTGCAGCCAACAGGAAAAAAAAACAGACTTCACTGTGTTGAGAGTTTACTAGTTCTCATATCTATACTTGTAAGAAAAGCCAAAGGGTTTAGGCATTCTCTAAAAACTTGTACTTTCCCCTCTTACTATCTGTGCCCCACGTTCCACGGGATCTTCCAGGAATTGTAATGCTGTTTTCCAAAAGAATTTATTGGCTTGTAAGTGGTGTTTTTATACACGTTGATCTTGAACATAACCTGCTCCCGAGCAGCATAAGTTACCATGGTGACGTACCCCGTCATAGTCCTAAAAAACCCATCATTAAACCTGAAGTTACCTCGCTAACCTCAGATCCAGCTTCGTAGTACAGAGAATAGACTGGGGATGGCTGCCTATCTCCGTGTTGCTCAGAGTGACAAGTTGTGCAGCGTCACAGTCGTTAGTGAGATTTAATAAAATGCACACCTTGTTATGCGTGTCTGCAAGATTTTCAACTGTAACTATAAAATCTCCTATGAAGGGATACGTTTGGTTTCAGATACCCTACATGAATCTCCCAAAAACTGTGTAAGAATGGCTCAGAGAGGGCTTTAGCTCACCTGGTTGAGCTGGCGACCCATGTACAGGAGCTGTAGTCTCCGATGCAGCGGCTGTGGGTTTGAATCCCGCTCGTGGCCCTTTGCTGTAACTCCTTTCCACATTCTCCTCCCCCACTTTCATGTCTCTCTTTCGACTGTCCTATCTAAGAAAGGCAGAAAGATAAAAAATAACTTCAAAAAAACGAATGGCTCAAAGAACAGGACAAAGAGCGTCCAGACTCCCCCGTTAACACTTCAGTCGAGCATCTGTGGGATGCGTTTATTAAGCCCTATCCTCGGAGGCTCCTCTCCACAACTCCCAGGACCCAAAGAACTCGATGTCCTGGTGCCCGACATCCCCAAAGGTCCAATGCTCATGCCCTAGTAGGAACTAGAGCTGCCTTGGCAGCACAAGGAGAACCTTCATAAGATTTGACAGGTGGTTTAGATGTTGATCGATGAATGTAAATAAGAGGTTTTCCGTGATTACACCATGGTGCATGACTCTGAAATGGCAAGTCATTATACAATTTATACATAACAAAGTCTTCCCAGTCCAAGTATATCCCCTGAGTTGAATCAAGTAGAGCAGCTTTGGAGTGTTTTAAAGTTTCGCTAAGAGAAAATCTAAAAAAAAATCTCCTGTAAAGAATTACATAATATCGCTCTACAGATGTGTGAAATACAGGTATCACCTGTGCTATTCTAAGAGAATCAAATGCGTCATCAAAAATAAAAGAAAGCATACAAAAGATTGGAAAAATTAAAATGTACTAATAAAGGGAATATTCACTTTTGTTGTGCTTAGGTTGTAGTTTGGGGTGTGTATTTTCAATGTCGTCCATCTGACCCTTTGGTTTTTAATTAGGCATAAAATCAAATACACCACAATTCAAATTCAAAATAATACAGTTATTATAATATGCTATAGCACAGGGTGTACTCTGGTTGTCTGGGATATTGTCCCATAAAATAAGTGAATTAAGCCTAAAATAGTTTGTACATTATTGAGTTGAGGTGGTGCAGCAGCAAAGCAACTTACTGTATATAAACTACACTTTGAACAACAGCGAAGTACAGTTTTAATCTTTCTCTGTGCTTGAAGAACTGTCAAATGAATTTTGTTTATTATCATGAAGTGTGCCCCTTTTCATCCAGTCAAGCAGATGGCAAAGATTCTTCAGTTCAACAAAACTCAAGACAGTCCTCAAGTTTTCTGTCTGAGCTGTAAAAACTGAAAGCTGGCATGCCTTCTCTGTGACCTCTGCTAATCTGCTGCTGCTGCTGCTGCTTCAAGTGTCTTCCCAGAATTTATGAGGAAAACTGGAGGTGATGTCGACGCTTGCAGTTCAGGTTACTAGGTTTTGTGTGTGAGTCTTCCTTCCAGTGTAAGAGCAAAGCTAATGAGCATCATATTGTTTCTTATTAGTGGTTTGTTTGGGGCTGCAGCCAGGATAGGAGCTCATCATCATCTACTCACTACGATCGCTCCGAACGCTTGTCGGTGTCAGCTAAGCTTGGCCACCATCCATCACTTGGAGGCCACAATCCTTTATAGAATATATTTGTTTAGCGGAGTCGTGACTCACCTTTGTGTTCTCGTCTGTTTACCTCTGCTCCGTCCTACTTGGCATTAGAGTAAGACTATGTATGTATCGTGCATTTAAAAACAAAAGTAAAGCGTCCATTCAGAAGCGATGCCTTCAGCCTTGAGGAAAAATGATTTTAGAGATGGATTCCTTGTTTATCTTCTAATTTTTTTTGTTGCGAGTTTTGACAGTTCCTCCACTTTTGATCACAGCCTTCTTTGTTGGATGGTGACGAAGACGAGTGAAATAGATGAGTTATGTAAGCGACTCTGTTTTGACTGAGAAAGAGCGACAAGAAAATAACAAAGTAGGCCAAAAACCACCAGTTTATTAACTGTGAATTAGATGTAATGAAACAAGGTTAAAAAAAAAGAAGATAAAGGCTTATATAACTGTCGCTGGTGGCCCAAAATTCTCTTTCATTTGGAAGTTAGAGTTTTGAATTAAAGTTGTTTACCAAATACTTAATTCATTAATCATCATACACTTTACTTACCCTGTTTCTTTATTTTGAGTCTCTTTCCTCCCTCCTCACTTCTGTCTCGTCTGCCGTTTGCATATCTTCCAGTCCTTCTTTGCTCTGTTATCCTTGTCTCATAACTCATTTATTTACAGTTTTCTCTTCTCCCCGCTGTGGTGTCTCATCTTGTCTTCTCCTTCTCATCACGTCTCTGATGTTTCCTCATTTACCCATTCCTGACTCTCCTCACCTTCCCCTCAATTATCTGTATGGTCCCTATCGTCTGTTTATCTACGTATCCTACCTTCCTTTTGATTTCTCTCCCTCTCTATTCTCCTGTGCCACATATCATCCACTCTTCTCTTCATAACCTTTCGGTGACCCTGTTATTCCTAGTCTTACTTCTGCCTTTCTATTTCCTGCAGACCCTGTGGTGCTGGGCAGAGCGTTATGGCTCAGACGCTGCAGATGGCGATCCCTAACTTTGGCAACAACGTCCTGGAGTGTCTGAACGAGCAGCGGCTGCAGGGCCTCTACTGTGATGTCTCCGTGGTCGTCAAGGGACATGCCTTCAAGGTCAGATGTTTGTCAGTTTTTTCTTTTGGCCAATCACTGACCAAATGTTGGCTATTAGTTTTTCATGATTTCAACTACTGTAGCTGAATAATACTTTTTTTAAAAAGAGAAAATGTGACTTACTTGAAGGCAGAATCAAAACTGTGTAGAAAAAGGCTTGAGTAAAAGTCATTTCATAGTTTTGCTTGTCGATTGTGCAGATACCGTTTCTGTCAATTGTTCATTGGCCCTGGAATGCTGGCTGTGAAGGTATTGACATAACTTTGGTTAGAATGTGTTGGTTAAACAGAACAATATTGAAAAACTGCCAAAGTGCAGCTTTTCATAATTTCAAATTATACCTCTCTCTCACTTGAAGAATACATCTTTTGCTTTGTCGTTGCTCAATAGAATTTCACACTGTAAGGCCACGAGTTAAACTTTTCCTGTATTTTAAAAGTTGCTGCTGTACAAATGCAAAAGATGTCGTAATAGGTGGATACGATTTCTATACCGTCAACAGAGAAGAAGTCAGGTTGTCTGTAATTATCTGTCTGGTGGCTGAGATAAACCCAGTCTTCCACTACATTCCTGTTTGAGTTTATTGTCTCGTTACACTTGACTGCACATACAAGTGCAATCTATGTAAGCAGTAAAATATTTGGGATTTTAATTTACTCACAATGGCGGTATCCTGTGGCATCTGGCATTAGAACGTCAGCAGCAGATCCTTTAGGTTCTGTGGGTTCCAGTGTGAATTCGACTTGTTCTGGCCGGTCCAATGGATGCTCAATTGCATTGAGGTTTGGGGACACCTTGGGCTTTTTGTCATTTGTTGATCTGCGGTTGACAAGTTTTTTGTGGTGGGAGGGTATGCATTGTTCTGCTGGGAGTGCGGAATGCTGTCATGAGGGGGCGATGTGCTTGGTCTGGAACAATGTTTAGGTGGGCGATACGTGTCAAAGTCACATCCACATGAACGCCAGGACCTGAGGTTTCCCTTTAACATTGTAATATGGTGATCAATAAGCTGTCTTTCACTGTAGAACCTTGTGGGTCGTTTTAGGGTAGCTGGAACCCTTGCGTATGTTCTGACCACTGAAACTGCCCCTGTAGAATCTCTGTCAGGACCATTTTTTGGGAAAGGAAAATACCTTCTCCATTGTAGGTGCTTCAAAGTTGCTGTGAGAAACTGCTGTATGGGTCTTGGTGCTGATTGGTTAAACTCAGAGAAGACAAATACTGATTGCTTAAAAGGCCCTCGCCGATGAGCAGTCTTGAACACATAGGGTAACATAACAGAGAACTGACAACTAGAACTGGAGTGACCTCCAGTTAATAGTGTTTGTTGTTCTGGCACACTCGGAGTGAATGTCATATTCCAAGATCCTCCACCCCAGTGAAAGCAGAAAGGCTGAAAGGGCCAAATGTGTGTACATATGACGGGGCAGCTCCTGTATAGCTACGCATCACCTCACGCCTGCCCCCAGTTCCGGCAGTAAAAGGCCTCCTTGTATTATTTACTTTACCTGTCAGGCATCAGAATCGATGTATTTTTAAACCCTTGTGACTTACCTTTTCCTGCTGTTTACCCCTCAGGCCCACCGTGCAGTGCTGGCAGCCAGCAGTTCCTACTTCCGGGATCTGTTCAATGCCGGGGGGAAGAGCTCAGTGGTGGAGCTGCCCCCGGCTGTGCAGCCACAGAGCTTCCAGCAGATCCTGGCCTTCTGCTACACAGGGCGCCTCAGCATGAATGTAGGAGACCAGTTTCTGCTCATGTACACCGCCGGCTTCCTCCAGATCCAACAGATCATGGAGAAAGGCACAGAGTTTTTCCTCAAGGTAACCTCATAACAAAACATTCATAAACACTAATTTAAGAATTCCTTACAATTGAATTCAGATGTGGAACGTATAGTAAAAAGGTCATGTGTACATAGGAATCTTTCTGTTAATATGAAAATCATTTTAATGGACGAAACATAAAAATAGGTGTTTCTTTGTGCCCCCACCGTGTCACCTGTGTGTGACATGCGTGGCATTGTGTTGTGATGGGGGCGTCTGTGTTTGTGGATGCGTTCCTGTGAATCAAGAATAATTGAAACATCGTACTGACACTACAGTACTATAGTAGCAGATGATCTGATTAGATTTGGAGTGCCTTGCTGCATAAATCTGCATATTAATGAGGGAAAGTGATTTCCTTGAAAGTTCCCTGTAACACCTCCAGACACAGAGTCAATATGATACCAGCTACGTGTTACGAGAAGTATGTAAAAAGAAGAAGAAGAAAAAAAAAAAGCAGCATTTGCTACTGAAGGATGTGTTATGTCGTTGGCTGCTCTTAAAATGTTAGTTATTTTCAGACATGATGTGTTTACTCCATGAGCCACTTTGGCAAGCGACTAAGGAATATTGGGAAACTGAGTTTGATACTAACACATAGTCCAGCATAAAAGCTTTTCACAAAACTCCTCTTTTCACATCCCTCCAGTGTTACAAGCAGGCCTGTCTCCCTTAGCCAGAGCTAGCGCCACAGCACTGTGTCAAAGCTGAAGAATGGTCTGTCTGAACCTCACTCATCATTCTGCTATAGGGGGTACATTGCTTCTGGCTTGTCTGTATTTCTTTACACCAGTCCCAGTCATGCTGGGCGTTGCTAAGCCCAAGATGCAGTGATGGTACCCCTGCAAAACAGTGACAGGGGGAAGCAGGGCAGCATTATCCTACACAATCCAAGTCTTTGTCAAAAACCATTTTCAGCATGTTGGTTGTTGCTTGGAAGTTATTGTTTTCCCCTGGTGAATGGGAAATGAAAATTGTAACACTGAAATAGTGAAAGGGGAGGAGAAACCCTATTTGACTAATACTTATTTATTGACTAGTCATTGCACATTTTTATGATCAATTTATTTATCTAAATATATATTTTTGGGGACGTCAGACAATGATTTGACTTCTAGGTTGGCTTGCATTGTTAAAACTGTGCTACGTTACAAAAACATACAAAACTGCAGCCAATAATAAGCCTTTAAAATATAAAGAGAAAGTGCATGCACAAATCAAGCAGCAGCAACACTGGCAAAAGTGGTAGGCTATTGATTTTGGCTATGATGAGGAAAAAAAAGGAAGGAGATTGAACATTTTGCACATAAGCACTGTAAAGTGCACCTCAAGTCCACAGATCGCAATTAAACGAGTACCTCGTCTTCAGTAAGTTATCACAGAAACTATCCTGCCTTAATGCTGCGATCGGCCTGTGCCGGCCCCCCATCAAAAAAACAAAACAATAACACTTGGCCGTTGCATTAGTGGGCTGGTGGACCATCAAAAAATCCATAAAGATTTACCGGCACTGTCTGTCTCTTTACCTGCCCTCTCTGTGTGCCTGCCATTTAGGGGTGCACATAAGATTGTGCTGTGTGCATTTTCTCAGACTGGGCCAGTGAACCCCACACAATGATGACCCCACTTTCTTTGGGTCATCTTTTACCCCCTAAAATGATCTCCTACCAGACAAGTAACTACTATCCAGTACGTGCTGAGACCTGCTGTATAAAGGGTAACGTTTGTCTGTGACTGACTAAAATAATAGCAAGTATAACATAATAATAAGTGACTGAGTGTCATAACTTCCTCTGGCGTTTGAGATTTTCTTTTTCTCGCAAGCAACCGACCGATCAAAACTCTGTAAACTGAGACCCCCTGATCAGTTAATATTTGGTCAGCAATTAGGGGGCAGCCCCAAGAAACGTCAGTGTGGCCAGACATTTGATGCAACAAATTTGTCACTTGAGAGTTTTCCGAGAATATTCAATGCTGCAGACATGCTAAACACACAGCATTCAAAGTTCAATAGCAGCACTACTATGAGGAAAACACTTTGAATTGCATGAACATAAAATCATGGCATAATATACTGTATATATTCCTGACACTTTAATCCATCTTTATATGGCCATATCTCCAGGTCTCCTCTCCAAGCTGTGACTCCCAGGGTCTCCACACTGAGGAGACCCCGCCTTCCGAGCCTCAGAGCCCCGTCACTCAAACGGTGGGAGGGGGCGGAGTCGGCATTGTTGCCGCGACAGTAGGAAGGCCCGCTTCCTGTCTGACGCCCCTGCCCTTGGTGTCCAAAGTGAAGACTGAACAGACAGCCACCACACCTCAGCCAACTCCACAGCCGCAGCAGGTAGGTTGTGTGTGACGATCTTAAAACAGGCAGAGTGTTGCTTCAGTAAAGTTTTTAATGGTATCTATTTTTTTTTCTATTTCTAATTCGTCATTACATGTTAACATAATTTGAAACCTTTAAGGAGCGCTCACAGCTCCACCTACATGAGACTACCCTAATCTAGATGAGGGGGTTTAAAAGGTGATTTATAAAACCTAACCCTATACATCAATATTATTGGACAAATCATAACCTGAAGGGTATTTCTGAAATAAAGTACTGAAACAGTAGTGAGATAAACTAGATTTAGAATTGAATTTTAAAATGGAATTTCATTTCTAGTTCAGTTTTCAATATTAAGACAGTATTATTTGTTTATTATTGTCTTGCCTGCTGTCGTCAAATCTGTTTACCAAAAGAAATGTACGTTATAAAAACTATTTTTAACAGCCTATATAAGACTGTATGTAGCCTATATATTTTCATTAGTTGCTGTCTTCTCATATGCGTCCATGTGTTTTGAAAGTTTTATGTTGAAACTTGTCCCCACACTTGGAGGACAGTAAATGTTAAGTCCAGCTAGTTCAAATACAAGTAACGGAGAGAGTGGAGAAACTAGTTCCTTGTCATTTAATTCAGAGGAAAGCATCTGTTTCCTGCTCATAAATAGTTATCACGTGATGGCAGGTGCCAATCTGCATTTCACTTTTTGAAGACGAAGGCTCCGCAGTGAAAGCAGTGAAGTCTTCACCACATACTTCTCATCCAGATGAGCAGATGTCATCACATGTGCAAATTTGTCGGTGAATAGCTGAAGGGAGAACACGGTGTTAACATTCCCTGCCGATGGACGATGTCAGCACATTTAGTTACTTTAAAAGAGTAAAATCGTGTTAAAACTCAATAACAAACCTGCAGAAACTCTGTTGCCAACTTTTCTGTTCATTCGAGGTGATTAAAGATGAGATTGTACCTTTGCTTTCCGTCTTTTACTTTCTTGCACTTAGACTGTATACTAATGAGACATTTAAGTGTTCCTTTGCCAAAAAGGTAGAAAATATTAGAGAGAGAGAGTTATCTTGATTTATTTTCCAAAGATGTCTTTAAAGAGCATGTGGAGCATTTAAGTGAGCTGGTTATTGAATGTAGTCGAGCTGAATGAGATGGATTCTGGTGCAGCTCGTGTCGTTATCATCTTAGGTACTTGATGACTGTTTAAACAGATAAATGGTGTTAACTGTGTGAATTTGTGTCTGCCTGTTTTTACTGAAGCTTATAACATCTCAAAGAAGTCAAATCATTTCTAGTGATGAGGAGCAGAGGCACGCGTTGTTTCAATTAAGACGTCCAATATACATATTAAGTTACAAGAAACCCTGAAGACACCGAGACTTATTAACAGGAGTTAACTTCTGTTACTGTGTGAGAGGATAAATGTACGATTACATAGGCCCTGAAGCCATATGAATGACAGTGTTTTATTGTTGTGCTTTTATTGTTGTCAGCATTTAAGAGCTGTCCCAAGTGTTCCAGTCAGGTGGTGGTAATTAACCAATGTTCTCTCCTTCCTCCTCAGCAGGAGGGCTCCCCCTACTCTGTGGTCTGCACCCCCGTGGCCAAGCGACTATGGGAGGGGGGCAACCGCGATGGGGGAGGGGGGTCTGGAGGTGGCGGGGGAGGTGGAATGAGGAAGGCTGCACGCTACTCTTCCTCCTCTTCTTCCTCCTCCTCTTCCAACACAATTACCCAGGATGCCTCTGGGCGTGGACCTGCAGTCAATGCTGCCATGGCGGGCAGCGGCGGCGCCACTTTAGCTGGAGGACTCAACAGTAACCATAACAACAATAACAACAACGGCGGGACCCCCGAAGGCACGAGCCCGGGCACACTGAGCATGTACACCAGCGACTCGCCCATCAGCTACCACGATGACGAGGAAGAGGACGATATAGCAGATGAGAGCGCCGAAGAGCAGTACAGACAGATCTGCAACATGTACACCATGTACAGCATGCTGAACGCCGGAGCAGCAGGTAAGCGCTGACAGCAGATGAATACATCAGTGTGGGTTCATTTCAAGGTTACTGTGTTTCCATGTAAATGTAGAAGTTTCCCCCCTTCTGATCGCAGCATCTCTTGCTGTAGAGTGTTTACAAGTGCAACTTCTGTATAGTTTATTTATCTGAACTTCTCAGGAGTGGAGGATGTTATGGAGAGTGAAATGTTGAAAACACTGAAACCGCTGAAAGTTGTGGATCCTGCCTTCAGTTTATGAATTGTTTATAGTTTATTTAATCAAAAGTTTTAGGACCATCAGATGGGTGCTTAAAATGAAATATTCATAATAGTGTTGGTTTACAAACTGTACTTTAGTCAGCATACAAGAGAAAGGAGCTTAAAACAGATGAGAAATTTTCCACCACTGCAAGAGCAAGAAGTGTCTTTGTAAGGTCGAGATCTAACTTCAGAACATGTGGATAAATGTTGGGTTCCCTGAGGCAAAGTGGAGTGTGATTACTTCTCATTACAGTCCTTTTAAACACACACACTGTGGAATGGAATATCTCACTATCTGCTCTTGTTACATGTCAAGCATTTCTAATTTATGAGGGGGAGTGCAGCTAATGATGATTTATATTGTCAATCATTATGGAGATTGTGTGCTTCAACAATTCGTTTTGTCTATGATCAATTTGTCGATAAAATTCCGACGTATCACCTTGTCTTCTAATAATATTTAGTCTAGTATCATGTATGACACAGAAGAGCATCAGCTGGAACCATTAAAAGTGAGGCCCGTTTTCTTTAAAAAAAAAAAAAAAAATTAGGATTTGAATCAATACAATCAGTAAATCACAAAGGTTGCAATTTAAGATGTATGTTATAAAATGTCCTATCCACGGTTTTACAAATTCATGCCATCTCTCATGTGTGACAGTCGTGCTTATGCGAGTGTCTCATAATGTGGTAATGCTTGATCACACATTTTAAATCTATTACAAGTGAATGTTGAACTGAGGAGTGTATTTGAAAAATTATATCGCAAATCCAATCACAACATCTGTCCAAAAAAATTTATTGATATTTTGCAAAAATTGTTCAGTCCTACTAATCATTGTTCTGCACGTGGATTCCTATCGATAATCTATCAAAGGCCAAAATGTCAGATGTTTAAAATCTTTTCTTAAATGAGGAATGAAGAAACATGTTTATATTCCTCTAAATAAGGGTATGTGTCAGCTCTACAACTCTGGCACTTGTATTATAAAGTTTCAAATGACACCCTAAATGTAAATAAAAACAACTGATTAGAGTTGATCTTCCTACCTCCTCAGTGGTCGGGGAGCGGGTGGAGGCCCTGCCAGACTTGGCCCCAGACTCAGGGGGCGGTCGAGGGGGCAGAGGGGCGCGGTCCCGGCAGGACCTGGCATCGCTGCCCGCCGAGCTCATCAGCCAGATCGGGAACCGCTGCCACCCAAAGCTGTACGAGGAAGGTGACCCGGCCGAGAAGCTGGAGCTGGTGAGCGGCACCTCCGTGTTCATCTCCCGCGCCCAGCTCATGAATTGCCACGTCAGCGCTGGCACCCGCCACAAAGTGCTGCTTAGACGCCTGCTGGCCGCATTCTTTGACAGGTCAGTGTCCGAGTTGGCCTTTGTCTTCTGTTTTGTCCCGTCTTTGTTCGCAATCATGCACTTTGCTGGCAGAAAAAATAAGCAAAACACGTCAGGAACACATGGAAATACCAGCTGGAGCAGACTTAGACAGGGCAGACAGGGTAGCAAAGTTCCTTCAGGGATCAATTGAAGAGTACAGACTGATATTTTATGATTAGATTTTTTTTTTCCCTGCACTGAGACCCTTGAACTGTGGTTTATTGAACGTCAAAGTGAGTACGGAACACAAAGTTGAAGTTTGCTGGTAGGTCAGGGATGGAGGGCCAGACTGAAGGTTCAACTGCTTTTTAGGTTTTGATCAGTGATTCAAACACATCAAACCACCAAGTTACTGTTGAAGCTCAGTGTCTGTCTTGTTAGCAGCAGACAGAAACAGATGTATGAAGGCTGACATGACGATCCAAAAATATAAAGTAGGGGGTGATGTACACGTGCTCTGTTTAAAACCTGGTTCCGGAAATGAAACTGGGAGAGAAATTAGTTCTTTTTAAACGTGTATAGTCAAATGAGGTAAATATACTGTACTAAGGAGAGACACTTGGACAGACAACATGCAAACTTGCAAAATGAATGGACACTAATAATCAGTCTTATCAACCTGCTTCGGTTTACAAATTTTGGATTGCAAGCTATTCCCACATTGTGCAGCTCAAACTGTTGAACCACATGGCCTTAGAATCTCTGCACGTTCCGTCATTTGATGTGTTTATGTGGGTTTTATGTTCTCTTTTGCTTGCTCAGGAGCACTCTGGCTAACAGCTGTGGAACTGGCATCCGCTCCTCAACCAACGACCCCAGCCGTAAACCTCTGGACAACAGAGTGCTGCACGCCGTCAAATGTGAGTCACACAGAGACAAGCAGTTTTCGATACTGTAAATACTGTGAGTTATATGCCAGTGAGGCTTTCGAGCTGCCAGCGAGCATTGAATTTCTTCTTTTAAGACTCACCATCATCCTGCCTTTCTGCGAATGAATGCAAATGTGACTGTCTTTATTGTGGTTGCGCAGGTGCAATAGTATTGGATGGCTACCTTTTGATAGTGCCTATCTAAAATAATGCAATTTTATGTATAAGAATAGTGGAAAAAAAATATTTACATAAACGCAAAAAAGCACCAAAAACAAGAGCTTCAATTAAGATGGTAGCTGCGTCTGTGAGCGCCCCCATTTTAATTGGTGCATCACTCATTCTCTTCCTCTTTTTTGCCCTTCCGTACCCTTTTTTACTCTTTATCTTCCTCTTATTTCCGCTTTTTGTCCTTCTTCCTTTTGTCCAGTCTACTGCCAGAACTTTGCGCCGAGCTTCAAAGAGAGCGAGATGAATGCCATCGCGGCCGACATGTGCACCAACGCCCGCCGCGTCGTCCGCAAGAGCTGGATCCCCAAGCTTAAACTGCTGATGGCCGACAGTGACGCCTACTCTGCCTTCCTGGCTGACAGCGTGAAGATGGAGGCTGACGCGCTGGGGGCGGAGCAAGGCTTTGACCCCGCCTCACTGGAAGCTGTGGCAACAGCAGCGGCGGCAGCCGCCAACAATAATGAAGCGGGAAGCGGGGCGACGCCAGCAGACGCCCTCCAGGGGGCGGGAGGAGATGGCAGCACTTTGTTTTGAGTGAGTGAACGGACAGATAGATAGAATGGACAGATTGATGAAAGGAGGGATGGCATTTCTCTGGGGTGATGAGTAGAGAACGATGGCCACTGTGGTCTTGATGACAGTTATCACTCCTCCCCAAGCTGCCACGCGTTTGGGGATCTGTTTCTTCTCTTACACCTCTGTCGGTCAGTTTGTTCGGCTTTCCTTCCTTTGTTTGTCTACAGTTCTGTCTCTCTCCGCAGCGCAGAATGAACCATTTCGGGCTTTTCCTCATTGCTCTTCTTCTGGTGGAGAGAGATAGAAAGAAATAGAGAAAGGTAGCAGAGGGAAGAGGTTGGTCCCCCCCACCTCTTCGTTCCTCTGCAACCTTTGGAGACCCGATTGTTTCAGCCTTTATTTTTTATGTTTTCAAAGTGTTTACTGTCACTAAGGCCCTTTTCTTACCATAATCAATCACAGACATTCCCTGGGGAGGGGGGTGGGGAGGGGTAATCCTTTTTTGGAGAAAGGGATATTTCTTTCCCCAAACTCCGGTAACACTGTTGTTTTGATATTGAATGTATGCGTGGCGAAGCATCCGAAGTGCAGCGTTGTAAGCCAGTAAAGGCTGAGTAAGATTGTGCCGAGCCCTTTTTTTTTTGTTTTTTGTTTTGTTTTGCTCTATTTCATCTGGACGGACAGATGAAAGCTTCTCAGAGAGCGTGGCGTTGATGGGGTCAGGAGTTGAAAAGGAATATTAATATGTATATTGGCATGGTTTATGATCTCCTTGACCTCAGCCTGACCTCACCAACCCTGCTCTGTAACCCCTGCCTGGCACGCTGGGAAACTGACCCACCAGTCTTTAGAGAAATGCTGCAGATTTCAGACTTGACGGCAGCATTTTGATGAGCTGGTGAGCGTTCAGGTTTGTTAGCCAGTTTAGTGGCAGATGAGAAAATTTGCTTGACTAAAACCTTTTTCCCCCCGAACCTCCCCCACTTTTAACCCTTAAACCCTAAAAAAAAAAAACGAGTTTGTTTACTTTTTTGTGTTTCATTTTTTTCCTTTGTGTGTGATTTTTAAAATTTTTTTTTTTTTGCCAAGGCTCCTGAGGGAGAGGAAACTTGTTACCGATGATTGTCAAAGAGTTTGCGCGTGATAAATGCACTGTGTTATTTCCTGCGGTATGAGTACAATCGAACTAAGTTTTTGTACGTATCAGAAAGAGAAGAGGGGTGGTTTTATTTAAAAAATGCAAAAAAAAAAAAGGAGAAAAAAATACTAGCTGAAATCCAATTTATATCTCTGTTTAGCACCCATTTTTTTAAAAATCTGAAGGAAAGTCAAGAATTATCTAAAAGCGAGTTTCTGCCTGCGAGCTTAGTAACGAGATGTGTGTGAGTGTGTGTGTGAGGATGTAGCAGTGATGTTCTTTTCATTTCAGCTCATGTTTAAATTGATTTCTCTGAGAATATTCGCTGCCATGCCGTTAACAGCACAGGTTTCCTCAGCCTCGGCTGCCTGGATTTGTGCTCTCCTGGCATGGACAAAGGTGCTAATTCAGGCGGTGGTACATGGCAAGGAATACAGCTCTGTGTGTATGTGTAGGTGTGTGTTTGAATGGCCATACAGTATGTGTGCGTGCTGCAGCAGAGAGAGGGAGGCCAGACAGCGTGTTTTCACACACGCTTGGTCGATTCATTCACCCATCACTGCGGTGAGCACACATACACGCTAATACGCATTTGGGCGCTGTCAGCTGCATCAGCTACAGTACACCAGAGCAACGTGGGAATTAAAGGGGAATTACACTAAAGCGTGCCTCAGAGGCTGTACTTCATCACATGTAAGCAATCGGCGTGAATTTATTTTGCGCTGAAGGAGGCTGCAGTAGATCCGACAGAAAACTTTAACTGTACTGACTGTGCGTTGGTTTGAAAGTTTCTGGCTTTGATGTGAGGTATTTAAAATTACAAATAGAAAGCTGCTAAATAATGGAAATCAGAGAAAAAATGTTGGCATAGAAACAACCCTGAAAGTCACTCCAGTCATATTTGCCTTTGATACTTGCACGGCTGAATGATAGCTTTCAGAAGAAAAAAAAGAACAAGAATGCAGAAAAACTGACCTTCAGAATTCACAATACAGCTGAATACACTCATCATCTAAACCCTGGAGAGGGCTTTTTGCTCTTGTTCACTTTGAGGTTGAATACAGGGGTTCTAGGTGAGCTTTTGATTTAGTGCCACTGGTATTCTGGCCCTCAGTACCACTGTGATGGTTCTAATGAATATTAAAATCCTCTTTACGCCAGGTTTTAGTTTCAGCTGGAGCACAGCCTTTTAACGGTAGCACACAACAAGACGTTAGCCGGCTGTGAATTTATGTAGTCGGTTTTATATGTTAAACAGATTTGATCAATGCTCAAACTTTGTACGACCCCTTGGTTTGTATTTTAAAAATAGACACAGCAGGATAAAACAAAGAATAATTTCTCCTTGTATCCACCATTATCTATGCCAAGTTCTAATTAATTAATTTCAAATCCTTTTTATACTTGGGGATAAAGAAGGAGGCTGATTTGGGTTATACTTACATCCAGGCAACAAAAAGCTGGTGGTTTATTGCCTCCCACCAAAGTTTGTGAACTTGTTCTTTGCAACAAGAATTCTTTAGAAATTCACGACATACCAGCCAGTTATTGGTCATTGTTGCCTCAAAGACGTTTCGATTTAGTGTCGATCTTTTCTTTCTACGTCTGCTTTAGTGGCAAACCTCTGCTATCTGGACTTTACGAGTGTCTCTGTCAGCTGATGTTACTTACTTTGAAATTAGACGTGATGTAGGGAGCGAGTCGTGAAGCTTCAGCGCGCTATAATAAGGGAACATGGTGCGCGTTTAATTCGAAAGGCCACACAGCTGCTTACGCCAATATTTTAACGATATAATCCACTTGCTTCTATTTTCTGTTTGCATATCTTCCAGGATTGGGGGGAACCAAACATATTCTTACATTGGATTCCTGTGGCTATACAATTCCCACTCTAAAAAAAAAAAACATATCAGAAACATATGCCTCAAGATTATCACGCTGAAAAACACGGCTAACACTTTAGATGGATATCATGCCCGTGTTTTTCCTACGAGAGAGAAAGAAACCTAAAGCACCTTATTGCCAGTGTGGCATCAGGAGTGGGCAAGTTGAGAAAGCTGAACTGTTTAATGTCACATTTCCAGGTTCGTAATGATGTTTAGACTGCCACACACACACACACACTCACACACAAGGAGAAGAGTTTGCTGTTTAACGGTCTCAAACGCAGAAACGTTACTGTGCAAAATCTAAGTATTGGAACACCCCAGAAAAGAACCAAAAAACAGCCTCCGAGGCGTCTTGAACTGAACCAGTTTTATAGATCAGTGTTATGAAAAAACTGTCTGCTTTTTATGACCTGGCTTTTGAGGAAAGATGTTTACGTGACTATTAGTTTTTTTTTTTATATATATATTTACATGTATATCAAGTTTTTCTATTATTACTTTTAAGAACGGCTATTAGTCAAAGAACCCTTGTCCTGAGACAAGCACCTAAAGGCCAAGAGGAGGAAATAGGGAGGTGCAAGGTAACAGTTTTTGTTGATGTTGTTGTTGTTTTTGAACTCCTGCCTTGCCCCATCGTCTATTCTGGAGCACATGGTACGATTTATGGAGACTTGACCAAGTTCAATACCTGAGGGCAGATGGCGAGAAAGTGTGAGACACAAAGAAGGAAAGGACGACGGTGATGGGGATGAGGGAGGGAGGGAGGGGAGGGAGGGAGGGAGGGGAGGGGATGATAGGACACAGTTTGCACATTTTTTTTTGTTTTCCTTTTTATAAATTGTTTAACTCCAGTGCTTTGTGTAAAACAAAAAGAGAAGCGCTGCCTTAAATGAGGGACGGAAAAAAAAAAAAATCTGAGATAGATGGAGAGCGAAGGAGAGGACAGTGTAAGCCTCCCTAGAGAGGAGGGAGGAATGAAGAGGGGGGAGGAATGAAGAGGGGGGTGAGGAGGAGGAGGAGGAGGCGGAGGAGGAGGGGTGGTGGTGGTGGCTGGGACGCTTGGATGATTTGGTGTGAATGCATGCATGCATACCAGTGTGTACGTATGTGTGTGTATTTGTGTGTGCGGTTTGTTGCAGGGCGGGTTTGGGAGATGTTTGTAAAGGCTTTGTGTGTGTGTGTGTGTGTGTGTGTTCGCATCTGTGGGCGAACATGGTGTGTGGGTGTATTTTTAATGTGTGTGTGTGTGTGCACGCATATTAATGTATGTATGCAGGGTTTTTTTTTTTTTTGGTTTTTTTTTTCCTCTGCTCTCGCTTCCCTCTATCTCCATTTATGGCATGTTAATGTCTGCCTCCTCACTAGAAAGAGCTTTTGACAGTGGTACAGTGCTCGCGCTCGCGTGTGTGTGTGTATGTGTGTACGCGCGTGTGTGTAATGCGCATGCCTATGCCAGGCTGGGTCTGCGTCTCGATCTATGTGCTGCATACGTGTGTGTCTGGCTTCATGCGGTGACTGCGCATGTCTGTCACTGTGTGTGGGTGGTTTGGGTGCTCAGCTCTGCAAGGTCTGTACGTATGTGTGTGTGTGTGTGTGTGTGTGTGTAAGAGTGTGTGTGTGTGTGTGAGAGTGGGTGGTATGTGCACAGAGGTTGAGATGAGTGGCTGTTTGTTTTTGTCTGCCTCAGAGAAAGGCATACCTTTCTTTTCCTCTGCCTTATACATGCGCACACATCTGCAGAGTCACACATCCATACCCACAGCGCAGAGCCTATACATGCGTGCCATATCAAAGCTGCAGCTGTATTGCGGCCATGTTGCATGTCAAGGCTGCAGCTGTCCTGTTCCTGACGAGCGTTTTTTTTAAATATATATACCTAAAAATCATTTAAATGTAAAGTGGATTTCAGACAAAGCAGCCCTTCCTTGTCAGATTTTTTTTTTTTTTTTAATCTCCCACACTGCCTTCCTAAATATCCCGCCGCTGCCTCCTAAACGTCCTGTACTCCTGCACGGGACAGCAGCACAACTGCAGCCAGGACTCTGACACTCTCCCCTCCTCTCTCTCCCGCCCCTCCATCTTTAGATTCTTCTTTTCCCCTCACTCTCTGTCCTCGCTTCTCTCAGAGCGCTTCTCTGTTTTCTGTTTTCTTTGTTTACATCTCTTTCTGTCTCGCCTCCTCTTCATGTATACATTTCTCTCTCTCGCTCTCCGCTGCTGTCCCCTTATGTCTCTCACCCTCCCTCTCTTCCACACACACACACACACACACACACACACACACACGCAGGAAGGAGCTAAATAGTGTTGGTCCCTTGTTGCTTCATTACGTGAACCATCATTTTCCATCCACCGCTGCTTCATTTCTGTCTCGACTCCATTTTCTTCACAGAATGCAAATCCCTGCCAAACTCTCCCCCTGTATATCCCCTTGCATGTGCGAGAGTGTGTGCATGTGTGGGTGAGCGTTTGCCGTCTACAACAACAACAGATGGGGCTGCCAAATATGTTGCTGCATGTGTGTGTGTGTATGCGTGTGTGTGTGTGTGTATGCGTGTGTGTGTGTGTGTGTGTGCATACATGTGAGCTATTCGAATGCAAATATGAAAATAATTGGGCGTTGGTAGATGTGGCCAGGCGCATCAGTGCTTTGTGTGTTTGTGGGACACTGTGGTCCGGCGTAAGATTTTTTTATTTTTTTTTGTGTTTACTGCACCTTTAATAATCAGACTATTGATGAGGAAGGTCTATCTGTCCCTATATTCCCCTGGCTGCTGTGGGCGACCAATCAGAATTTCCACATGAGAGACGCAGCCAATCATGAGGTGAATATCAACCAGACTGTTGAACCAAGTGACCAAACGGGTTTAAAAAATGTAATTGTAATTATCTTAGAGTTTGAGCGGTAGGGAGAAGAGGAGGAGGAGGAGGAGGAGGAGGAGGAGGAGGTGGTGCTGTTCTTCCTGAGGAGGAGATGTTTGTTAAGAATCTCTCAGGACAGACGAGGCATTGCGGCATTCTGCCGTCACATGAGCGAAGCCTCAATCCAGACAAAGACACAAGAGTGAGAGGAGAGAGAGGAGACTAATGACAGAGAGAGGAGGAGGAGGAGGAGGAGGAGGAGGAGGTGATTGTCTCTCTCTGGCCCTGTGCCACCAAGATAAATACCTGGGTGCTTGTTTGTTTATGTAGCGTGGCATTTTGCAGAAGGGTGGGGTTAGGGGCTGAATGAATAAACGGTAGATTTGTCTAAATCCCTCAAAACGACTCCAGCAAGACAAGCAGCCACTTAGCGGACGCTGACGGGGATCCAGATAAAGAATACAGCTTTCAAAAGTCGAGCTAGGAATCGTCTGAAAAACAAGAAGAACGAGCTATAATCTTTATTCCACAAAGTTGAATTTTGCACTAATTACGTTGAAGAGTGGAAGAAGGAAAAAAAAAACCCAACATATTCTAAGTCCAGAAACACATTTGGCAGAATTTTTCCACCCCGCTGTCTTGTTAAGCACTGCAATATGATAATGTGAAGACATTTTTGCTGCAACTGTAGAGGCGATTTGGCCTCGCTGGCTGTCAGTTTGCCCAGCTGTTGTCAGTGTGGGTTATGTTAAACACCCGGCAAATCTTCATGCGTAGTCAAGAATTAGGGGTCTGGAAAACTGTGGATTTTCGACTGAGCAGGACCCTGATAATCACAGGGTGGCGTGGATGTACCATCTAGTTGGATAGTACAGCGGCTCCCAACCTTTTCCTATTATGATGCCTTACTTAATATAAATCTAATTTTAATAAAGACTTAGACCTAGAGCTCACATGATCCATTAATTGATTGATAAGTTGATCGACACTGTTAGATTTGCTCCTCCTGTGGTTCCAAATGTAAATATTTGCTTGTTTTCTCAGTCGTCTGTGATGCTAAATTGAATCTCATTGGGTGTTGGTTGGACAAGACGAGCAATGTGAAGGGCTCGAGAAGCTGTGGTTTCACACCAAACGCTTCCTCAACAGAGGCAGAGTAGTCAAGAAGGAAAATAGTAGTTGAAACCCTGGTTAAAATGACAACAAAATTCCATTAAAAAAAGCAATAATATGTGTAATTTCATGTAGCAGAGAGAAGTTTTGTCACACTTTATATTCACGTCACAGGAGACCACAGGTTTGGAGCCGCCGTGGCAGCAGCCGACAGGAAAACAAAACGGAAGTTGAACATTTTCTAATTTTGAAAACTAATTTTTGTCACTGTGCGAGATTTTTAAATGACAAGAATGTGGGAGTCGTGATTGGAGGGTTGAGGAGAGCTCTCTGTCTGAGCGGCGGCTGTCGGATTGGGCTCGGCCCGATCACGTGGCGCCTTGGGTCGCGGGGGGGGGTTTGAACTGGGTTTCAGAACCAGGGTTTTTAATATGAATTTGGTGTACTTCCAACGAGCACAGCGAAAAGCGATATTTTCTTTCATATCTGTCTGTGTCCGTTTTATTTCCTCTTTGATTTGGAGGAAACGTTACAAGCCGGTGGCCGAGCGCTACCGAGAGAAGAAAGGAGAAAATGATTTTCATAAAGAAGTTTTGAACACTCCTCTGACCTACAAAGAGCAAAAAACTGTATTATAGAGTAAGCCTTGAATATCTCAGCACCATGGGCTGTATATCACAGAATATCTTTTTTTTATGAGATATAAAACTTACCTGTGACCTTTCAGAAGTCATCACAGGTTGCAGTTTTTGCCCCTTTGTAGGGCAGCTATGACTGAGCACAGTTTTCTGACTAAAGGTTAAGTGGGGCCAGAGCAGACGTTTTTCTTTATTATTTTTTTTTCTCAAAGCGATGAAAGTTTAATTTCCTGTTATCGTGTTTATGTTTCCTACATTTAAGTTAGCGTACTGTAGTTCTTGAAAGTTATTTTAAAGGAGATGCTACTAATAAGTCGACATTAACACCTGTACGTAGAGTTGCCAAGTTGTGTAAAAAATAAAAATTACAAAAAAGAGAACGTGGAGACATGGTTAGCTGTAAAATAGTTTAGAGAAAGAGAACCACATATTTTTGCATTGTTGTATGATTGAGGTGCTGTGGGTTGAGGCGGGGGTTTTAATGCTGGACCAGATGTTTGGTTTTTACTGTACTGCAGCTGTTGCCGGGACGGGACCAGGAGCCGACTGAAACATGGACGGACAGTCGAGGCGCACAAAACGCTGCCAGGCTCACTTCATTTTAAGGCTACAAGTCTGAATGTCTGTTTTTAAAAGAATCAGTTCATGGATAAAATCTTGCTCTCCGTTCGTTGTCGTTTGACAATTCAAACACACTTCTTCGCCAAGCTTGCCTAAACTTACATTACAAATCGACCCAAAGTAAGTTTACTTGACCTGGTTCTCGGACCAGCTTTTCCACAAAGAATAAGCTACTGCTGCTTGAATGTTGTTGTTTTTTTTTTTCTCTTTAGACGTCACCTGGTGGTCGGAGGCGGCTACTGCGGCTCAGAGACGGGGGGGCTCGGCAGCTGCAGTAGGCGCCACCGCCACCAGGCGGCGGGATCCCGAGAAGCAGTGATCCTACAGAAGCTATGATTGTAATCAAAGAGTCTCGATCACTGTATTCCTCTGAGCACCTTAACAGCAGGCCGCCGGAGGCTTCTGCTGCTCATTCTAACAAATCCGACACAAGACGCAAATCCACCAAAACGTCCACGACTCGTGGGCCGCGATGCCAAATAAAGCTGTCAGTAGATTGAAAGTTGCTGACGTGACTTCCAAAAGAAAAGAGCGCTGCAGCCGTCTTTGTGCTTCCGCTCCTCCATCCAGGAGTCGGTCCGTCTTGTTTTTCGCTCCTGGTCTCCGTCCCGGCTGCTGATCCACAGATAGGAACCAAAGTGACAAGCGGAGAGTGGAATAGTCTTTAAAAAAAACAAAACAAAAAAAAGAAGCACCTTTGGGCGAGCGCTCAGCTGTCACGGAGAGCCAAAGCCCTCTGCACCTTTCCGAGCACACTCGCTGTGTCACTCCTATCTGTGGTTTGGATGTTGTTGGCGTCAGAAGTGGGACATGTGTTGATGCTGGGGGGGAGGGGGAGGGGGGGAATTGTAGATGTAATGTGAGTTGTTTTTTTTTTTTTAATTTGGTAAGTTCCTTATTTTTGTTGTTTTTACCTTTTTGTACTATTATTCCCTTATTTTTTATTTTGTATGTTTGTTTTCTCTTCTCTCTGTATGACATTTGTTGTTTACTGTAAACATGACGAGGGCCTTTGACCCGCCTCCCCTCCAGGTGGGAGAGATGGGGGTGGGGGGGCCGGTCCAGTTGGCTGAGGGTTACTAGTGAAGGGTGAAGGCTGGTGCTGATTCAAACAGGGTTCCTACACAGATCTGGGAATTGGCTTAAAGTGAACAAAGGGAAAAAAAAACAAACAAGAAAGACGCGATAACCCGGCAAGCATTTGATCTGTCATTGGTTCAGGGTTGATCCAAAACTTTCAGTGTGACTATAAACCAAATATATCTTCAGATTATTCAAAACTTCTCCTTAAAAAGTCTCATTTTTCACTGTTGGAATCAATGAAGAAAGCTTTGCTGTCTTTTCAACTACAGATTCTGTCCAGATGCTTGTGGTGTTTGATATTTCATGCATGAGAAACGGTCTGATTGTTGAGATTTTTGAATTCAGTCAAAAATGTGAAAGGAAAAATCCTCCCTGAGCGACTTCAACAAAGCAATGCAGGGGTTGAAATCACTCATATTTACCTTAACGCTGTACTAATTGCTTTCCTTTGGCCGCATGGGAGGGGCACGGCAAGTTGTTAACACAACAGTGGCATATTATCACCTGAGAAAGTTGAGAAAACAAAAGTATTAGCACATCCAGCAGACACAGAGAACACATTGTCATCCTATTTGAGCTCCTGCCAGTTCCTTTTGCTCTCTTCGGGGAAACATTTAGCTTTTTAGCAGCTAAACAAAAGGCTTAAAAGAAGGTAATGAGCTTAAGGATGCTAAAAAAAAAAAGTCAAACTGAACTGGTGAAAAGAATTCCTGTGGGTTCATCACTACATGTGGCAGCGTTTGCATTTAGGCTGAAATTTAATCCATTGCAGTGTCAAAAAATATCTAGAAGCTGATGGGAAAGTGGCCAATTTAAGACAAAAAAGTGTATTTCAGCGTCGGATAGCAGTTTAAGCAGCAGAGGGTGGATTTTTCCTGTGTAGGGACCCTGCTGAAAACCTGGAGGAATGTCAACAGTTGTGTCATTATGTGTATAAAAACTGGCTAAACTTGAGAACAGAGGAGAGCGGGAAGGGGACGCAAGACTCTATCTTTCTTTTTCTTTTTTTTTTTTTAAATCAAGATCCTGAGGTGAAGCCTCGCGGTTTATCTCTCCATCCCTCCCTCTCCGCTCAGACGCCCTCCTCCACTTCTTCCTCCCCATCTCCCTCGGCCTCACCTCCCTCACCCCTCTCCTCTCCTCAAACTCCTCGACTCTCTTTTCCTGCTGTCTGCTGGTCTGTAGTCTTCTATCCAGAAACATTTACTCTGCTCTTTCCCAAATCCCCACACACCAGAGACAACACACACACGCTCACACACACATATATATATATATATACTGTATATGTATACATGAATACAAAACGGGCAAACCTCTGAGATGCAGAAGCTCGCAGCCACGCCTGCAGACTCTCAGGATGTGTTGCAGGACACGTGTGCGCGTCTTCGTGTCACTGATGCAGTTTAAAAAAAAAAAAAAAAAAATGCAGACTCTCAGGATGTGTTGCAGGACACGTGTGCGCGTCTTCGTGTCACTGATGCAGTTTAAAAAAAAAAAAAAAAAAAGTACCAGTTTACCTCGGGAGCTCTCAGCCATAGCAGACCTTAATCCCCACAGATATCTCAGCGCTGCGAGCAGCTTCGGAACTGCTGTGGCTGCCGTTACAAAGCAGGTACATACTTTTTTGTTTTTCAGGAACAAACCCGAGGGCCTCAGCAGAGCGCTCTCGGGCCATTTGAATGCGTACAGTGCAGGGTTTTTACAGAAACGGGACACGAGTCGAGAGTCCATGTCAACACAGTCTTACCTCAGAATCATAGTACAGAACCGGGGGTGGGGGGCGGGGCTTACATATGATCATGGCAACCGTGAATGACTATTTTTTATTCCTTCTCTTCCTTGTCTCTGGTGTTGTTGGGTAAAAATAGTCTGCAGAACTCTTTTCTTTTTCGCGTTTTTTTTTTTTTTTTTTTTCCACTATAAATATATAAATATATAAACTGTACATTATGACATAGAAGCACTATCAAAGTTTGATTGTTAGATGTGCACTCGCAGCATGAGGTATTATTCTTTATTATTCTTCATAACCCAGAAAAATGAAAAAGTGAAATAACAGCTTTTGGAAGTAAAAAAAAAAAAAAAAGGAAAAAAAAAAAAAAAAGGACAAAAAAAACAAACAAAAACAATGCAGTAGCATCTACTGATGTCAAAGAAAATACCCAACCTCATCCCACTACACACACACACACACGCACACACACACACACACACACGCACACAAACACACACACACCCAGACCTTTACCCCAGCCCCGCCCCTCTCCATCCAACCAACTGCCCTGACGCTCCCTCGCACCGCCCCCCGCTGCCCCCCTGCCCCGCCCCGTGTACATGCCAGTGTTTCCCTCATGTGTTCCAAGTGCCAATAACTTTGTGAATTCCTAACTGTGACCCAGTAATAAAGATAATTGCACATTAACTACTGTAAAGAGAAAAAGAAACCAGACTGATTAAAAATGAGGAAAAAATCTGAATATCTTAATAAAAGGTTTGTAACAAACAGGACTGACCTTACGGCTGTGTCGGCTCTTCATTTACCTCGTCTTCAATCGGAACGCATTTCCAGCACGAAGGGCATCAGGTCGTCGGGTTTTGCGACGTAGGGACCACTGCAGAAACGAATTACAATTACACAACAGCAGCAGCTTTGTGACATGTCAAATAAATGATCTTGTGTCAGTTAAAATACATCTGCAGTGGCATCCCTATAGCTCACCTAGTTGAGCGGGTGACCCATGAATGGGGGCTTTAGTTCCCTGACACATCGGTCGTGAGTTCGACTTTCGCTCACGACCCTTTGCTGCAGGTCTCTTCCCATTCCTCTCCCGCCTTTCCTGTCTCTCTCTACTGCTCAAATAAAGGCAAAAAGCCCAAAAAATATATATTTAAATAAAATAAAAATACGTCGGCATCAACCCTTGTTGGTGCAGATTTTGCTATTGTACTACTGTTCTGTGCAGTAGATTAGTGTTGTGTGCATGCTGCTAAGAATGTGAACTAATGTCCTTGTGGTCTGCACAGAGACAAGTTTTCCACTAAGCACAGTCTTGGGGAGACCAAATTTGTGTTGTTCTGCTTTGTAGTCCACCAGGAGTCCGCTCAGAGGACTCTGTTCCACACATGCGCACTAGATCGGCATCTACATATTCCACGCATGAACACTTACGCAAGCATGCACATTAATGCCTCGTGGAGGAGCGGCTGTGCACACGGACATTTTTGGGCTGCAGACTGCAGATTTGCGGAAGGATAAAGAAATGTACATCTCACGTAGACCCTCATGTTGTCACAGATGCAGAAAATATAAAGCTTCGATTTCTTGCTGTGAACACCACAGACGCATAGTCGTTGCTCATTATGCAGCTTCTCTAGTCCGTGTTGGAGGATTTATTTCATACGTGGACAGTAGGTCATATCTACATGTTCCGCCCAGACACGTGTGCTGAGCATGCACACACTGCTCTGGTTGCTTAGTCAGCACGGACACGCAGCACGCAGACATTCGTAGAAGGGTCTGACGTTTGCAAACTTGAGGACATGACGAAATTTATGTCACGCAGGCCCACATGTGGATTTGGAAAGTATAACAATGGCCTTATGCATCAAACAGAGACTGCAGCAGAGGAGGAAAGGAGCATAATGGCAACAACTACACATTTGTGGTGTCCACAGTTGTCCTTGAAGGCATCTGCAAGGAAATATAGTCGAGGCCTAACGCTGTCCTTAGGTGGCCTGAGTAAGGGAGTGACTAGGAAACATAACTAAGGCTCCATTCTAGCGCATGTTCACGCACACCCAGGTTCCCAGTTGTGTCCACGTTGGACCAACACACAGTACACTCAACCCACACCGCTATGAAGGAGATTTCAAAGCTCCACAGCAGTCCAGTTGTCGGTGGTGCTGCACCTCAAAGCCGCCTTCACAACCAAATCTGTGGCACGTTGGATTTGAGATGGAAGAGTGTTGAGTTGCAGCATGCAGACAACACGGTTAGTTCAGAGTGAGGTTCAGCTTACAATCATCTTTTAGTCAAAATCCCTGGCTTTCATCCACAACGTGTTAAACTTTACGACAACAGTATCAAAACGATCTAAATAAAGCTCATAATAATGTCTAAACATTGAGAAGTTATGACAGAATACACATACTAATCTGCTGTGTAACTGCAGTACTGTCTGCTTGATTCTACTCATTTGTTTCAACAAATTAGTTTCGCTCGACTCTGCCAAGATGTCCTTTTTAGAGGTTCCAAATGCTTGCAGTGTTGGGTATTGGAGCAGTTACTGGAAATATGTTGCACCAAACAGACTCTTGACTGTTGAGGAACACTGTACAGCCACAGCGTTACAACAGGTCAAGTGAAGAACATTGATCATCTTGTCACAGTGCAATGGTCTGCTCTTGGGTCTTGGCATTCATGTAGGTGTTACCTTGACACGTATCACCTGGTGGCCAGAGCGCCTTGCAGCTCCACAAAAACTGCCCAGGAACACCTTCAGGAACATGACGGGGAGCCCAAGGCGTCGACATGCCCTCCAAGCTCCAATGATCCCAATCTGATGCGCACAACAAGCCTGATCCATGAGGTTTGACCCCCGACCCACAGGACCCAAAGGATCTGCTGCTGACATCTCAGTGCCACACATTACAGGTAATCCTGAGAGGCTCAGAGTCCATGGCTCGATGGGTCAGAGGTGTTTGTAGGAATAAGGGGGACCTACACAATATTAGGAAGGTGGTTTTTAAAATGCACATACAGTACATTGAAATTAAATAGAAAAAGGAAATTATCTGCTTGTCTGTGTCCCTGGTTCTGCCAGAAGTGTAGCTCAGAAGGAAATTGTTGGATTTCTTGGATTTCTCTCGAGAACATAATCATAGGCTGTCACCATGTAGATGTTTTGAAACCGGAAATAACAAAAAAAAAAAAGGGGGGTTAGCTGACCAAGAACTCAGAGACACACACTAACACAGTACAAACCTGTCAGTTACCAGCTAGAATCACCTTTATTGTCTAATTTACTCTAAATGGAACCAGAATGTATAAACATGCTGTATTCAACTAGACCTGAAACTAGTGATTGAGACCATTAACTTCATAGGTAAAGGTTTACTGAGGGGACAAATCCGTTGAGAACCTGGGCTATTTTCTCACAGACTTCTATATAATCAGACTTCTTTTTGCAACCAGAAGAGATGCCCCCTACTGGCTGTTAGACAGAATGCAGGTTTAAGACACTTTCATGTTGACGTTCTCTTTTGAGACCCAGCTACGTGCAACTTTCATGTACAGGCCATGAATATAACATGGTATAGGTCTTGACTCTAAGTGCCCTGAGATGACCTACATTGTGAAGTGGCACCAAGTAAAACTGCTCTGAACTGAATTATTAACTTTCCAGCGATGTACTTTACCAACTATAGCACTGCTAGCGACCTACTGTGAAGACACAACTTGACTCTGCACCAGATAGAACTGAGAGTATCAGGGGAGTTGGAGCTGCTCTGCTGGACAAAGACCATTTCTAAATGACCAGATGCATCCTCTTCTGCATGATGCTCTGTAAAAGACCAACATCAGTTGACTAATTCACCGGCCAGGCTCTAGTGAGAACCCATTACATTTACATGATGACTGAACATTCATGTCTATTTATGGTTTTTCTTTTAGGTGAATTTTTTCTGAAGTCTAGTTCGTACAAGTCTACTTTGAAATCTCTAAAAGTTGCCTTGAATGCACCCAGCCTTGAAGATGTGGTGCTGTATGACAATATAAACTATTATAGGTAGCATAATCGTAGCAACTGGACCTGTTTGAGTTCCTTGAAGACGCTCCACCTCTCATCCAAGAGGCTTCATCAGTGACTAGTTGGGAGTTCCAGACACTCATATCCTTAAGGAGCTGCTAACACCTGAGTTTTGGTTTCAATTGGGGGTTTGTTGCTCCTCCCCCTTGTTAAGGATATAAGTATCTGGAAATCCCAACTAGTCAGTCAGAACTGATGAAGCCTCTTGGATGAGAGGTGGAACATCTTCAAGGAACTCAAGCAAGTCTACGATTAAACTACAAGAATAACCATGACCCCGAGAATCTTCACAGACATTATATTATAGGATACTCACTATAATAATTCACCTGACTCAATCATGCAAGCTTAATTCCCTACAGTGCTAAAATTAAGTGGAACCAGCAGCTGACTGGAAGGCAGAGCGGAGTAACTACAAACAAATCTGAAATGTACTAAACAGGCTGACAAAAGCCAAGTGAGAGTCCCCACGATGAAGCCCCGAGGAGGTACGTGTGCACAGGTAAGCATCCACTCCTGCTTCACACACAAACATGAAGAGGAACATTACTTCTCCGTCTCGTCATGAAAATACTGTACCCTCACATCCTCCCACTGTTTCATCTGTTTCCTACTGTGACATGTCAAAATGTCTGTGTGGGGAAAAAAAAAATGCTGATTCTGAGGAGAAACATCATGTGACCTGCTGTGAAACCCTCCATTAGAGTCTGCTTAGGATTGGTTAGAGAACATGCTCACAAATACAGAATAGTTTGAATTTCACTTGAATAAAGTCGTCCGTGACCAGCTGACGTGACTGCGATGCTGTCAGCGTTGGTGTGTCGCTCCTGCAGAGTTTCACAGGACGTCTGTTGCACGTGTGAACATGTCGGTCTCCTGACTGCTGCCTGGCTATTTTCAGAACCAACTTGCAGTTCACGGAGCCACCGGGGGACTCGCGCTCCGCTCATCACAGCTAAAGTAAATGTCATTTCACATGATGGTTCTGCTCTGAGAATAGCATGTGATGATGTTTCCATTTTGAAGAGCGCCTCTCAATTAAAACTCGCTTCTGTAACATCTGCAACGTAGAGAAAGCTTTTATCGAAGGAAGACATCCCAGCGGGAACTGGAGCTCTGTATTCATTTAAACATGCGGCTGGGAAGCAGAGCCGCCGTACAAAACGTCTTAAACCTTAAATGTAATAAAATCAAGGAGCACTGCCGTTCGTTCACTTCATGTTAAACAAGTTTAATGAAACCACATCTAACAATCTGAGAAATCTCTGGATGCCAGTAACAAAACAATCATGTGTGATTCACTTTATGCAGATGTTGTTTTTTTGTCAAATACGAGCAACAGCTGCCAAACTAACCTTCATGTAGTGTATGTGCAATGAAATATAGTTTTAAAATAATCCCATGTGGCAAAGCAGTAAAATAAACGGTGACATTTGATCGCCGTTGTTGCCCTTTTTCTTTACCAGAGGCAGTAAAAATGCACCAACATACGGTGTGGAAAGGTGCCATCTGGCTTTAATGGCACAACAGCAGCTAGCGTTGTGTGAAACTTTGTACATTCGGATCCCAAACACACGTCTTCGTTGTTTCAGTCAGAGGCGTGTCATTTATCAGATAACCCAAAAAGTTCCTCCTAGCTGTGGCAGAATGCACACGATTCTGATTGTTGGCACTTTTAACTGAGGGGGTTATGTAGCTTCCTTTGCAGTTCACCTTTGATAATGTTTGCTTCATCTTCCCTCAAGATCTGAAGCCACTACAGCACGTGTTAAAAAGTAAACAGTGTGTGTGCTTTAAATGCACGAGCCAGTTAAGAACTTCAATATTGATGCTTGCTGCAATGAAGTCAATTTTCACGAGATGTAGCAGAGCTCACTAACCGCATGTTAACCTGCTGTTTGTAGCTGTTACACAAGAACTGAAAGAGCTTCAAATTCTTGCTTTAATTTGCTCAGAACAGATTTGTTGACAAGGACCTCCACAGTGGCTGCCTTAACGGTTATAATACTGCAAAATCAATTTTCAGTTCTGTCACAATTCTCATTGCCTGAATGCCATCGATTCTGCAAAACACTGCGAGCATTTTTATCGCCCAGATCTGGTAACAAACAAAACTGAGCTCATCAGTAACATACAGATGTGATGTTACTGGATAATATTGTAAAATCTCTTATTGGGTTTAACCGAGACAGCGAATGTAAGTTCTCGTTGGAAAACCCTTCTGTGTTTCCCTGATGTCTTTACCTTCATAGAGATCTGTTCTGCTTGCAGAGGTCTAACAGTGACGCATAACTGGAGTGGAAACCACATGAGTGCTTCATTTACGCTTGGAGCCATTTGCCAAGTTTTTAGTTAATTTTTCCCCTCTGAAGCATTTAAGGAATGAGGGCTTGAATATGTAAAAGCACATTAAAAGCACACATTACCTACTGACAGGAATAAAATTTTAAAAGCTCTGGCAGTGAGGGTGCCGCCATCATTAACCCGACCTGCATCAAGCAAAAGGCATCTGACCTCTGACCCCTTTGGTAAAAAAAAAGAAAAAAAAATGTCTTTTAAGTTTGGAATTTTCTCTGTAACCAACAACAGCTTCAATTCAAAGATATTTGGATCACACGGGGTTAAAAACAAGATTGAGTCTGCATAAAGCCTTTACAAGAATAATGTCCATTTACACAGAACAATCCAATTAAAGCATCATAGTTGGTATTTATACAGCGCTGCAACACGGGAGCGTGAGTGGTGTCGCCTGACATGACACAAAGAAAAAAACATGACCCCCAGCCTCCAGCAGAGGGGGCTGTCAGCCTAAATCTGGGCTGCGCGAGGAGCCATCCTGCCCAGCAACTATTCCTCCTCTCATTAGCTAAAGCTTTTCAATAAAAGAGGCAAAGCCATTCGCTCTGAGCCAAGGTTGTCTCTCATCACCCAGCGAGAAGAACAAAGCCTCGGCCAATCGTGTGCTTGAACGTCTGCAGGGGTGCGAAGGCGGCCGGCTGCAGACCTGACTTCACCTCGCTGAGACGGATCACAATCAGGGCAGGAAATGAACCGTTTCTGTCTGCCGGCCGGAGCGGCGCGCAATCCCGACACTTCTCACGAAGCGGCTGGCAGATGAGCATCTATGGCAGGGATGGGCTCCCCTCGTGCCGTGCCTGAGTCTGCATGTTTTTGTTTTGATGGCGCGCACCGCAGCAGCTGTTTTCAGTAGTGACTAACTGCTCCTCTTTAGCTGAAATGTGTTCCGTGAAATCAGCTGCTGTGGTGTTGGACTGGAGGAGAAAAACCTGCAGACTTTGGCAAACCGAAAGCTGCCTCGTTCCGGATTTAAGCGATGGCTGCTCGTTGGGAGTTCATTTCCCGCTCTGACTCACATGTAGGCACATGAACATACTGCACATTTCAAAATGGTATAAAAATATATTTAAGGCAACACTGAAAAACCCCTCTCCGTCCCAATCTCCTCCCTCCCACGCTACTCCTGTTGGCAAAAAAACACAAATAACTACTTTTTTTTTTTTTTGATTGAACAGTTAATAAATCCAGTCTGAAGAGTACTTTTCACTCCGTAAACCTGCCAAGAATCACACTTCACAAGCCTGCTGATACTAATATGTCACATTAGCTGTTCTGAGATGTTTCGTCTGTTTCTCTCGACCAGATGAAGCTGATTTATCAACAAATTTTTTTTACTGCCATTGAGCACTTTGAGAAATTGCAAGCCTCAATGTTCTATATGAAAATATCTCGAAAGCATGTGGATCTGTTAAACTTGCAAATTTGTGGTTTTTAACCCAACAGCAGCAGCCTCCGGTCCGGTCCTCCCCATCCAGTACCATTATTTCTAATAATAGCCAAATTGCACCGATATGAAATACCTGCAGGGTTTCCCCCCTGCTGAGCTCTGCTGCTGACACATGCCAGTTGTTTTTTTGTTGTTTTTTGTTTTTCTCCCACCAGAATCATTAAAAGCAGAGTGGAGCATTACATCCCAGCTTTTCTCTGCAGGTCACCAGTCTCTCCTCAGTGTGAAGGAAGAAAGCGATGGAAGGGAGAGGAGGAGAGACGCCTCTCGTCCGTCTGGATCTGTCCATCTGTCCGTCCTGACAGGGAGGAGTCGGTGAACATAGTTAAAAGGTCAGAAGTCACTAAGATCAGAGGGCAAAGAAGAGGATGAGAACCACGATCATGATGGCGACCAGCACCCCGATGGCACACCACTGTCTCCGACCTGAAACACACAACGCATGCCGAGGATGAGAAGAATAACTACTTTCATGTGTGGCAATCAGCATCTTAGAACATTTTCCAACCTGCTGTGATCACATACAGAGCAACAATATATTCATAAAACCTTTTTTCTCCTTAAAGCCAAAATAAAAAAGCTCAAAGTGTCCTGATGAGGATGACGGCAGACAAGAAGGGACACCAGGATATCTGCTAACAAAGCAGTGATTCTGGACATTCTTTAGATTTACGCTGTAAGAAGAATTCTAACCTCTTACGCTGAAACGTGATTATCTACATCCTACTTACACATGTGGGACCGAACAAAAATAACTCTGTTTAAGCCAAAGCGACCACGGAAACACTTGGTTGTTTGGTTTAGTTAAAATTGCACAGACTGGGTGGTAATTATTTCTCTGCTACATCCTATTATTGATTCTTTCAGGCCACACTCAGCTGTTTGTCAGGTTTATTTTACTTTGCACGCGGCTCTGCTTCTGATTGATTAATCTGCTGAAAGTTTAGAAACTCGAGGACTACAGATGTCATTTTGGGTTCATCACAATATTCAAAAACACTTTGTGGAGGTTTTTTTTTCTCCCCTGCACAGTTACGTAATCAGCAGCCAGTTTCACAAGAATACAAATTTGAAATAGTTTCCAGCGGTTGCAGAAACGCAGCTGCTTGTGTGTGTGAGTGAACTTACTGCTGGTCATGTGAGACACTTTCTCCAGCTTCTTCAGGACGGAGTCCATGCGGGACGACGTCTGATCCATCTCGTCTCCAAAATCCCCCAACATACTGAACAAGAAGAGGAGCGCACGATTATTAAACAAACAAAAAATCATGTCACAAAAACCTCACTGGACACTTTTGCCAGTTCTTAAAATCACTGCTGTATTTGTTATGCTCATGTGTGGGTATGAACCCTCGGCTGTTTGAAGGACACTATGAGAGGAGGAATGACAAGCGGCCTGCGTGTTTGAATGATGTAGAAAAATGCCGCAATGACTGCTGTCGCTCTTGAAGGCCACAGCGTTCCTTACGTCCCACATTACTGCAGTGTTGGTTAAAGGAGACACAGTGACAACTTTTCTGTTCATAGAGCTAATGTGGCTACAAGTAGCGCTACTGCTCTAGTATTTAGTCAAAAAAAGAAGTGGAAGTGATGTCCAATAGCACCCACTGGCTTCATTACTCAGGCATGGTTGAGAAATCTTATTCCTGAGCAGTAAATGTCTTCTAGCTCTTGACACTCAAGTAAAATGTCTTAAGAACATATTGCTTTCAGCTGAAGGTGAAATGTGGATTTAAAAAAAAAAAAAAAGGTATTTGAGGAATGATGCACCGTTTCTTTGAAGTTAAAGCACTGGAGCTGTTACTAATGACTGTTTTTTATGATCCAAGTGATTTTCTTGAACAATCCATTTATTCTTTGGTCATTAAGGTGAAAACGTGAACTCTGATTTCACCGTTTTCTATCGTGTAAGATACAAAAAGTAGAGGCTGATCGCCGGAGAACACTGAGCATTTCCTTCTTGAAAAATAACTCAAACAATGAAGCGATTATAAAAGTAATACATTTTCAGCCTCTTGACTGATAGATTGAGGAATCATTTCAGCTTCTTGAGTGACTGACACGAGCATGACCAAACTTCACTTGTACTTTTGATGTAATAAGTCATAGAAAACGTTTATGTGGTCGTTACAGGAGTGCAGGGAGTAAAGTATGAAAGGAGAAATCAGAGAGGGAAGAATGGGTATTCTTACATCTGCTAGAGCAGAAAGAAGTGTGTCTGTGTACGACTGACCAGAGAAATATTAACCGTTTAAGTTCCAAATACAATTAATTCATCACAAGCATGTTCTTTCTTGACTTGCACTGTCATTTCCATTTATAGTCACTTCAGGAACAGATAAAAATCCACAAAGGGAACCGAAAAGTTCAGTCAAGAAAAAAAACGACAGATAAATGTGTAATATATAACAAAGCAAACTGAATTTTGGGTTCATGGTTTTGGTATTCAGGATTTTCTGGCTGAGCCACAAATCACGGCTTCGCTATTTAGCTACGCCTTCATCCAGTAGTTCAACTTTCCTGGGTGCCAGAATTTGCAGAAGAGCTCGGACTTCTAGTTTAAATTTCCAAAGAATGATGATGCACTGCAAAAACTCAAAATCTTACCAAGTTTATTAATCTTGTTTTTAGTCAAAATGTCTCATCCCACTTGATTTGAGATAAATTCACCTAACAAGTAACATTTCAGCAAGATAGAGGGACTTGTTTTAAGACACTGCATCTTAAATATCTTGTTAAGTCAAACAATCTTGAAATTATCTTGTTTTGAGTGAAAAAATACTATTTTTTTAAGCATTTGTGGCTTATTCCAAGACGCCAAGCTTGAAAATACTGGTAAAATATAGCTTAAAATAAGTTTTACCTGCTAATTTTAAGATCTCAATATTCTAAATATCACGTCTTATTTTAAGAAATCTTACCAAGCGAATTTTCACTTATTTCAAGGTAAAAGTACCTTGAAGTAAGTTTTTTTTTCTTGTTTTGAGAAGGGCATTTTTTCCAGTGTGAGATGAAGAGAAGCTGGATCAGTTTTGTCAGAGCCACACTGATCACCACAAACACCCATCTCTGCACTGACACCGGGTAGCTTCACAAACTTTCATCTGAGACAGCTGGGATTCGCGGATAATCCAGTAATAATAAACGACACTGAAGCAACTTTCCCCTCCCCAGCCTTCATCCTTCCATCACGCCAACATCTGCTGTCATTGTCAGCAGCACGTGCCCAGTAATAACGTTCTTAGTGTATTATAGTGGGTGAGTTTGCTGCAAAGTGACCACAATGTTCTGTGTCTGCACTGCGTGTTCGTGATTTCACATCTAACCTGTTTGGTTAAAACAAACTCAGGCCAACTGAAGTATGTCAGTCAGCCCCTTCAGTGGACTGACTCCCAGTGTGTCAGAGCACAGAATACTGCTGATTTTGTCTCAATTTTTAAGCCTAATTTTCCATACTTGGGTGGTTAATAACTCGTGTTCATTAATGCTTAACGTCTAACTCTGTGTGTAGAATTACGTAAACTCACACAGCCTGCTCATCGAGCTCGTCTCCGATCCGTCCAGACATGTCTTTGAGGACTCTGATGCTGCCGGTCACCAGCTCCAGCTGCTCATCCTGCTCCTGCATGATCAGCTACACAAACACACAAACAACTTCAGACTCACTTTCACTTCCTCTTATTTACTCATTCACTTAACCTTAATGTTACTGTAAAGCAAGACTTCCCCCTAAAATGTAAGAAGTCACATATGATTCATGCAAAATGGCGACAAGTTCCCACAATGGGACTCTTTACTCAGATTTAAATCCCCACCACATGAGTAATACAAGTACGTCTACGCAATGTCATCTTTTAGTATCTTCTTACAGATCTGCCCTCAGTAGCTGTGCTCCTCATGCACTAAATGTTTTTCCTCCGTTAACATGGTTTTATTCGAGTCGAGCTCTTTCAGGAATCACAAGAGTTTAAAAACATGTCATTAAATCAAACCACACACAGACTGTAGACAGTATCTACACTGAGCTGATAAAATACTCCAAGGTCAGGAAAAAAAAACACATTTTCTTTCATTAAAATCAAAAGGCATGAACAAGCAGGATTTTTTTTTTAAAACTCATTTCCTACTAAAACCACAAGCTGACACAGGATGTGTGATGACATACTTTCATCATTCAACACCGCTGTCAACCCACACCACAGGAAATAGAAACTAGCAGCTCACACCCTCGAACCCTGAAAAAAAAAACAAAAAAAAACCTGCCACCTGTGTTTAATCCTCTTTCGATTCATTCAAAGCGAGGTGCTTTGTAAACCAGAAACAGATCTCATCTTTATCCTGCAGCGGGGATCCTACACTCGCTGCTCATTTTCTATTCTTTCCGTGTGACCCTATGATTAAATCTCCCTCATCATCTGTTAACATGAGCTCATAAAAAAACATGACAGCATTCTGCAGCTTTAGTGTGACAGGAGGCTTTCATTTGGGAGTTTTTGTGATACCTCATTTTACATGAAATCACGTGTACAGCTGCCAAAAAGTCACACAACACTAATTCACATGCTTGAATATGCATACCGGCAGTGTGGAGGGAATTTACTGGAGGAGGTAGAGACACTATTTTTGTTCTTAAACTGAATTTGTTAATCCAGCCCTGGGTTTTTTTTCCTATTCTTTGTGCCTTCCTTTTTCCTCCCAACATCCTTTTCTTCCTGTACTGGACTATTTTTTGCTACAGCTTCTGTTCCTTTCCTTTCTTTTTTTTTTTTTCCCATCCATGTGTCCTCCCTCTGTTTTTACCTGCTGTTGTTCCTGTTGCTCCTGGATGTATCTGGAGTTTGCAGACACCAGATGAGCCTCCAGTCCTGTTGACCTGTCCTGGCCTGTTGAAGCCAGCAGAGCCTGGGCAAACACACACACACACACAAGATATGACCTCAACAGGGAAAACGTGTGTCTCTGTGTGTGTTCTACGAGTTGTAGAAGCAGAATTATTGTTAGAACAATGTGAATTTGACAGTTTCTAAACTCCAAATGATGCTGTTGGTTTGTTTTCCCTCCCGTGTCAGATGGAAGTAGATTATGAGAGCAATCTGTCGACACATGACGAAAACACTGGTGACAGAAGACACTTGAGATCATTCTTTAAAATGGCTGCTTATTCCACACGGCCGAATGTCTACTCAATTACTTATTACTGTTTAAACGAGCATGTTTGTTGGCATGCTCGCATTTTATTATTGTGTAACAAGAGTGAAGTTTTAGTTGTCTGATGTACAGACGATCCTGAGATAAAACGGAGAACACATTTTGGCAGTAACACAATCTTTTCTTTAACATCACAAAACGTACATTTTGCACCAGTATGTTGCCTTATCTAGAAAGGAGGTTTGTGCTGTTTGTCAACAGGAATTGAGAAAAATAGTGCGCCCTGTGTAAAGAACAATGATACCAAACTATTAGGAAATATTTGGATTTGTCAGGTTGTACATGTGTAAATTTGAAGGCTCTTAATTTACATTGTTAAACTAGTCAGGCATTTGTTTTTTAAATTGTAGGGTCATAATAACCTCAACCTACTTGATTCTGTTAAGTAAAGCTGTACTTTATATAATACAGCAGGGTTTTAACTGCTTTACTTCAATTACTGAATTGGAGTTGTCTAATAAATATGGTCTTAATCTTAATCATATGTAAACTTGTTGGTTAAATTTGCAACAGCAATCTTCTACTGAAAAGCACTTACGCTCAGAGGCTGCTGTGTTAAATGTGCTATTTACATAAGAGTGACTCAACTTGACCATCTGATAAGTAATGTGTGGATAAATCTTTAACTATGATAAGGACTAGCTGCTGAATCATGCGGGATTCAGGTTTGCCGTTTGTTTGAATTCATTTGATACAGGTGTCAAACATTAAAAGGACAGGTTCACAATCTTTACAAGTTTGTCCTAAAACAACAGACAGACAGTACAAATAAATATAAAAAAGGTTTTTCTTGCTGTATTTATTAATGCTGCATTTTAATATTTATGTTTTACTTGTCTCCTATCTGCTCTGCCTGCAGTTCAGCTGAGTTCAGTCCAAACAGTCCAGAATTTAGAACCAAGCAGTGCTGTGACGAGCACTGGATTCTTAGTTTTTAACTAAAATTATTCAAATAGTGTTTATTTAGCTTAGCCTTTGGCCATTTTGTAAATGAGTCATGCAGAATGAAATGATTTTAATGAAATATCACAATTTTATGCGTAGAGCTGCTTCATTTCCCAACAGAACACACAGATGTCAGGAACCGTTACAACATGAAAATCCCATTTGTCCAGTTTGTAGGTCTGACAAATGGTGAGTTTTGGTGATGTTTTAAAGACAACATGGTTTTCAAACCAAACTGCTGGCAGGTTTTGGAGTTCAGAGGATTAAATATTGAAGTGTCCGAGAACTTGTCATGACATTCAGACAGTATAGCTTTAATTCATTCTATTTTGCTGTAAAACGCAGATATCTGCACGTATAAAACAGTCACCAACCTGTCTGTTCTTCTTCTCTGCCTGAGCCACAGCAGAAGGGCTGGACAACTGATCCTTCATGTCCTACACACACACACACACACACAAATACACACACAAACAATTTGCACGTCTCATTTCACAATTTGTCACAATAGTAGCAGAACTTCCTTTAAAGCCCGGCTCAATGCAGACAGCTTCATTAATGAGATTTTATGCAGCTGTGCCAGAATCACCAGCCGGCAAATCAAAATGTCAGACAGTCTTTTGTTCCTTCTCAGCAAAAGCTCTTTTGTTTGGCTCAGATGACTCAGTTCTGTTAGGGTCTATTTTAAGAATGGTACCTTTGCCTGCAAGTCGTGTTCGACTGACTCATATGTTCTGCTGTGCCCACAGCATGGACATGGATTCGATTCAATCAAAGTCAGGAGCTTAACAGCTGCAGTGCAGGTAAATAAATAGACAGCTATTAATAGAAACAGATACGGATCAGTCTTCTGTATGCTTACAAAAAAAACTCTAATGACTGTGTGCTTTAGTCGAGGAAGCTGCTGCTTTGACTCATGTTTGACTTTGCCTGTACAGTCTGTGTACTTTATTGGAAACACTGCAGTTGCTAAAACACAACAGAGGCCTTCCAGACAATGTTTGTGCGACTGTCTCTCCTCCAACATGGCTACTTGTAGCCACTGGAAACCCAGTTTGACTCCACAATAAAAAGAACAGAAGCTCAGTGTAGCTAATTCATAACACACCTAATAACACAGACACGGCAGTCAACTCTAGAGAAAGCATTTAAGAGCAACTCCAGGTTACATTTTTCACAAAATGCTGAAAAAGGCCACATACACTGTCACATAAGGAGGGAGTGTCTGCCTCAGCGCCCTGTGCAGTAGTGGGTGGTGGAGAGTCTGAGTGGCTGTGATTTAGAAAGTTGCCCAATTTTACATTTCACAGTTTATCATGCTGAATTGTTGTAATTCCAGCCTGTCAGGCCATCAAGTCCACATTTTTCCTAACCCTGGAGCTACATTCTATGCCTGGGTGCATGCCGTGCGGGTGCAGAGACGTTTCTACTGCATCCGTAACAAACAGCAGCTGGCCTCATCAACAAGGCCAGAGGTTCCCAGTGACATTTCCTCCCCGGACTCCCATTCATGTCGATTTATGTTAGACAAGCTAGATATGACAGACACCAGCTGATCCTCTGCACATCGGTTTCTATTACAGTGAGCATCGATATTTGAGGTAGTATTAAACTGCCAATACTGATTGTGTCATATCCTGATACACGATAGCAAACAGCACGATACCGAGATGTAACACTGTTAGCTCAGCCATTCATCAAAACACCTCTCCTGCTCTCCACTGGTTCTCCTCACACCAACAATGAGGGTCAACCTGCAGCTGTTGTTGAGCTCTTGAGTCTTCTGACAGGAACCAGTCGTTCATTTTGCTTCGTCACTGATAGGTAATTTTTGTCACATTATTTTCTTTGTGGGATTGTTAGCAGAAAGTAGTGGACATGCTATGAATAGTGTGATTCATTGTGGGAGATTTTAGGGTAATACCTAGTGAATACATGTATGAATCTGGACACAAACAAAATGGTAGACAGTAAAAAATATTACACTGTATAGTAAATGGGGAGATAAAGCCTCTGAAGGTGACCAGACGTCACTGTTTTGGTTACACCAATACAATCTAATCCAATCAAGTACAGCAGCTTTCTTACATATTCTTCATAAAAATGTTGAATGTCCAGCTTTAGTTAGGTCTTTCATCAAAGTGTTGATTCAATGATATTTTTCTTATCGAGGTTGTAGTTGGTGGTTAATTCATGTCACTCACAAATGATCACTGAACCCAAGTACAATACACACACAAAGTTAAAATCACGTGATTCAACATTGTGTGACAGGGCAGACGTGGAAAAATAAAACACGATTGGTGGTGATGAAGTTACCTGAACAGATTTCCTGGTTCGTTCCACAAAGTCTCTCCTCTCCTGAAGCTCATTGTCGCCCAGTCGAAACTTCCCTGGGTTTGACTCCACAATGCCTGAACCAGTCAAAGAACCTTCACGTCCACCAAAACTGTTAAAAACTCTACTGGATTTGTTTTGTATTGACCGACATGTGACCAGGCCACTAAATATCAACAATTGAAAACCTCCATGAAACTGGGTTTTGTTAGAAAACACATTTCTATTTTCAAAGAAAAGTATGGTAAAAGCATTGATGTCTGCAGCAAAACTCAAGAATTGTTTCTGCTCTAGTTTTGAAAATTTTTTCTTTCAAATTTTAGCAACCATCTGGTATCATAATGTTAAAACCCCAACTAATTTATTACTGGCTTTCCTGTCAAACAAATCTGACATCCTCTGAGAAAGAAAATATACCAGCCACAGTTCTGAGTCACAACTCGCTGAGAAGTTCAACTATTAAATGAAAACTTGTGTTCCCACCTCCAGATAAACATTCAGCTTTATCAAAGATATTACCTGGCATTTCCCTGCCTGCTGAAAAGGTCTTTTTATATTTTTGATGTTTGGTTCATAATGATGTAAGTAAAAATGGTTCTGGCCTTTAAAAGGTTAATTCAACCCCCGGAATAAGTGGAAAGTTAAGAGCCGGAGAGGGTGACAGAGGGACACAAAGCGTCTGTTTGTTGTAAAAATACTGGCAGTCATGTGAATATACAGGCTTGTGGGGATGAGGGAAAGAGGTCTGTACATGTTTAAAGGATACTGATGGTTTCGCTGAGGTCCTCCAAGTCCCAGTCTATGGCCCTCAGACAATTCCTCAGTTCATTGGCACTCCAGTCCAGCTCATCTCGACTCACCTGAGACCACAAAAGCCAGCAGACACTCACTAACCTTACAGATACACACAGTATAAACATTCTATATAGCCTGTTGCCATGGAGGCTTTTATACCAAACACACAATACACCAGAATCATTTCAGTGACTATTAAATACTGTGTCAGCGCTCAACAAAGACCACATTTCCCATCTAGACTCACAGTTTATATAGGAAATTAGTGAGATTCAATTCACAGTGCCCTACATAACAAAACAGGCAACAACTAAAAAACCACACCTACAGTGCATGTCATTAAATTACAAGGATGCTCCAGTTTAACAGTTTCCAGGTTGACTAATGTGTCCTAATCTTAAATTATGTCCGCTGCCTCAGGTAAAACGCTAACATTTGCTGTGAACATTAACATCGCAGCGGGAGTCACAGAAAACATTATATTTCACGTTTTGCAAATGAACTCTGAATAATATTCACGTTCCCTTCATTTACTCGTCTCAGGACAGCGACAGTTGTTCTTTAACAAATTGTTTATTACTTGTTTTTGTAATTTCTTTGAGCTTCATTCTAGTAATGCAATAATTTCATGATTTCATAATAGTAGTTTTTTGTGTAATTTCTTTTTATTATTACAAATCTGTAAATACACTAAAAAGAAAAAAAAAACAGCAGAAAAAGACACAATCAGGCATACATATAGATATACCTACATCCACATGATAAATCATCTAAACAGTGTTGATTTTATAAAGCAACTGTGCATCACAATCTCCTCTGAAGGGAGTACACTAAGGATGTCTCAATGTGCATTTGTTTTCCCACGATCTGCCTCTATCCATCAGTAAACTAAATGTAAAGTAGAAAAGAAGATAGTTTAAGCAGTGGACAAAAATTAAATTCATTTGAATTCATTTTAGGATGCTATGGAACCCTGGCTCAATATGCATAAACAACACGTGAACACTATTTAGCCATTGTAGTAGGTGGTTGGTACACTGCTTCACATGTAGACTTCAAAAGGCTGTTTGAATTTGGAGGATTTTTGTTGTAAATGGAATTTACCAGTTTTACAACACATATAGGTATTTAAAAAAAAAATAAATACACCAAATGCTACAAGTTGTGCAGACTAAAATAGAAACACATTACATCCACACAAAAGTTTTGAAGGATGCTAAAAGCCTACGCTGAGCAGTAATTCAAAAATCCTCTTGAAATCACAATATGTGCAAGTGCAGTATCCAAATCTCAGGAGCTGCAATCTTCTGATAAAGGTAAAATTTGTTATAAAGGAACCACTGTAGCGCTACAGGATGCCCTGGCCTACAAATCATATTCTCCATGCGAAATAGAACATGTGTCTGTTTGGTATACAATCACACTATCATTTTTCTATTTACAAAAATTACTTTCCCCTCTAAAGTCGTGACTCGTTGTGCGATTGCAATTTCAAAATAACCAAAATAATGATCACATAATTTGTTTTTATGTTGTTTAACCCAAATAAAATCTAATGAACAGTGATGATTAGAGTCCAGTAAAGTCAATGCAGATGTCAGTGTCTAGGGAATATGGGAATTGTGCAATCAGAATGTTCAAAAACATGGTGAATATTTGATGATTCTGAGGGGTTGTGTTCATCAGCTTTTGAATGTCTCTCAGACATTTGTGTGTGTCAAATTAGTGACTTTTTCTCGTTCTTGTTTTATACGTATCGAGCTTTCTTGGCCACCACAGAGCTGGACTTCACCCTCAGATTTGGGATGTGTTAATGAATAAAGTCGGTCAGGACAGTGTGGTTGTTGTTCTGTGTAGCACATATGACCCTCAGAGGCTCACCTGTGTCCCATCCTGCAACAGTTCCTCCCATCTATCAAACAGGCCCCGAGCACGAGAGAGGGCCTTCTGCACCTCCCTGGACACACACACACACATGAAGGAAACGGTATCAGCACACAAACTCAGAGTTATTACACTTCACCCTTCAGCCAGCTGGCTGTTCTTTAGCCCTGCAGCTACGCCCCTCGTTTAACCAAAACAAACACCATTTTTAACCATCTCTAATGTCGCAACAGCCTTCAAACTGTATGACAGTCGAGTGTCGGAGCTGCCCAGGTGTTGGCAGTAAAAACCAGCTGAAACAAAAGTGAATCTCAGCGGTTGCTCAGTGCGGAACTGTCTCCTGTTAATAAACATCCACACTGACTCTGCGCAGTGGCTACTGTAGCACTGATGCTAGTTAGCTACAGCTAGCCGCCGGGCTAACTTCTCCTACATAACTTTTTCTTCGAGGGAAAACAACAATTCACTGTGTGACTAAGCACTGGACATGTAACAGTTTGTATTTAACTTGACGTTACGCGGACTTTTACGTCCGAATTTGTTCATTCCTTACCCCTTCACAACGAAAAATGGATCTTCTATCGACATGATGCCTGAAGCCTGCTTCCGCTTCACACCCGGCGCATGCGCACTTCTCATACAGACACATAAAGACAAATTACAGACATATGTGCATAATATTAGTTGCCATAGTAACATCTGCCACTGTCTGAGCTTGCAGTAGATTGCAGTGTTTGCTTTGATTTGATGTGAACATAACAAAACAGAAAACAGCAGAAAATTATTAACTCCAATATTTAATTCATTTCAGTTTATGTAAATGACATCATAACTCATCTCAGAGCACTTTACATAGTTAGATGGAGGTCTTACAGTATAATATAGCAAACAATCCAAACAAATGCAAAGATTCCCTTTGAGTGGATCTTTGCGTGGGAGGAAAAAATTCCCTTTTAACTGGAAGAAACCTCCAGCAGAACCTGGCTCAGGGAGGGTGAACGTCAGCCTCGACTGGTGGGGTTGCAAGCAAAGGGGAGAGAGAAAAGGATGGAGCACAGACAGAAAACACATAAGAGGACAATTAATATATGGGAACAGAAACGTTTCGCTATGCAGCCAAAGATACCTGCAGAGAGGACAAAACACAAACTACAGGAGGGAGTATACACAGAGTCAGTGATATGCAGCGGTGGCATAAAAGTGTATGGAAAGTGAAGGAGAGTGGAGGAGAGGTGCTCAGTACATCATTGGAAGTCCCCCAGCAGTCTAAACCTATAACAGCATAAGTAATAGATGGCTCAGGGTCACCCGGGCAGCTCTATAAGCTTTATCAAAAAGGAAATTTTAAAAGTCGAGAGGGTGTCTGCCTCCTGAACCCAAACTGGATGCTGCTTCCACTGCAAAGTAGCTCCTGTTCTGCTTTTTAAAAGTCTAGGAACTACATATAAACCGACAGTCTGAAAGCCAAGTGCTCTATTTAGATAATATTGTACAACAAGGTCTTTAAGATATGATGGAGCTTGGTCATTAAAAGCTTTGTATGTGAAAAGAAGGATTTCATATTTTATTCAAGTGTAGTCTTACAGGAAGTCAATGAAGAAAAGTCAATGCGGGAGAAATATGACCTCTTTTGTTGGTTGCTGTCAGACGTCTGACTGCAGCATTTTGGATCAGCAGGACTGAACTGAGTGGTTATTGGGATTTCCTAATATTAGAGAATAACAACAGTCCAGCCAAAAAGCAATAAATGAACAACATTTTTTTTTTTTTTTTCTTAGCATCACAGTGATATAGACAGCATCAGAGGTGTATCTGGTTAGATCGTGTGTCTCTGAGGTGTTTAGGAACAAATACAATAAGAAAACTACAGGACATCCAGGCCTTTGAAACGGGAGCTGGACATACACAATTTGCTAAAGTTTTAAAAACATTTTCAGCAGGTTTGTAGCAGCAGATAGAAAATTTTTTGAACAAGTGAGCAAAGACCAGGTTATGATAGACCAGCTAATAAATGCAGCTCAGTGGTGCTTCTGAGGTTAAAAACAATCTTTTATTCTAAAATATACATTATTATTATTATCCTGCATTTCCAAATCTTTGTTAGTTTCACTTCAATTGTTGTATGCAAATTGAATTAAGAAAATATAAAGCAAAGCATTCATCTCCTATTCTCAACTTACTGTTTTGCAACTTTGACCAGAGATGAGGTTCAGATTTATTACAAGAATTAAAATGCTACAATATACCAACTATCCAGAATACAGAGGGCTGGAGGCCTAAATCACTTCTCAAAATGATAATAATAAATTGATTTCTCAGCCTTCCTCATAACAAAGGTATAGACTCCTCCTCGGCTCTAATTGAATCTGTATGCACATGGAAGGAAATTCAAATCTGACAGAGGTTGATTGATCTCTGGACAACACAGAGCTCCCATTAAAAATGAATTAGAAAAGGATCTACATGAACGAACAGAGCGGATCAATGTAGGGTGTTGCTGGGGGAAAAAAAATCTGCCTGCTCAGCCAATCCTCCACAGAGCTGCTTGCATGTCGTCTCTCTCTCCGTTCAACCCTCCGTCCTGTTCCACCCATCTGTCTCTATTCCTGTGGGGTTTTCTCTCAGTCCCACCCTGTCCTGCCCAGCTCCTTCCTTCCTTCCTGTCTTCATCCTGTTTCCTCTCCTCTACTCCTCCTAAACTCCAATTCCTCCCATCCTGCCCTGTGAAAATTCACAGCTTTAGTTATAAATGTCCCGCTTGACGCGCACACATCCTGAAAGAGTCCCTTTTTCAGTAATATCTATGAACACGCTGCTTGCTTTATCGACAAAATTACTGTGATTTCTGAACACCACACCAAATGCTATGAGCTGGTAGCATTGCCTGTTTCATGTTAGTGGTATTTTTTATTCACAATATCCCTCAAGATGACCTCAGTGAGAGTTTAAAAGGCCCACATTGACACTAGACAGCTGGTTTGTGGAAACTGGAAGACAAGTAAACCAACTTGAGAATATGCACCACTAATCACAATCGTAACTAAAATATTAAGACATTTCGGCTGCAATAGCACCTAACGTTAATGCGTTGTCTAATAGAGAGGCTTTATTTCAATATGGAGTTTTCATACATTTGTATATTATAACATGATAATTTTAGATATAGTTTAATTAAATTACCACTAACTAATGTAACAAAGGGTCAGCTTGGGGTCAGATAGTATCCCAACATAAGACACTGGTATCTGGGGCAACAATGAAATTTAATAGAATGGCCATGTAAAGTCTGCTAAAGTTTTTCTTCCCTATTAGAAGATTCTCATATATGCACAATGCAGGCTTCAAGTTTCCACATCGCATTGTGTAAGTTGTCCATTCGACCAAAGTTGGCTTTCAGAACAGTTGTGATTTAGGCTAACAAGTCCTGCTGTCTAAATTTCCTCTGGAGATTTCAGTCTTCAACATGTATGGCTAAATTGTTCCAATATTACAAGTGCATAGCGGTCACAGTCATAGGTGAGCTGGTGTGCTTCAGCTGCAGCGAGTAGCTGACGGGTGGAAGGAAGCCACACTGTAGAGTTACGCCATTTTAAGACAGTAAGGGATTATTATTGTTATGGGAAAAAGATAATTTCAAATATGTAGCTGCAGGGTTTAATCAGTGACCAGAGAGGAACTTGAACTATTACATCATGGCCATAAAAATTTTATTAACATGACTGGCTGGAAACTTTAGCTCTTGTTTGATATGCATCTTTT